ATCATCACACGGGCCCCCTTTCACTCCCTCCCTCTCCCAGGTCGAACGCCCTCTTTTCAATTTTCCTTCCGTTTCACGATACATACTACCCTCCTTCTCTCATTTTCTTTCATTTGGCTCCTATTGAGCTCGGTTTTGTCACATGCATTTGGAAACGTCTATTCGGGAAGCGTAAGCCCTCATGAGATACCAGGCGGCGGCAAAAGTTTGACTTGCTTGTGAGTTGGTATAACAAGGGAAAAGGGGAAGGATAACCGACAAAACGACATCAAGTTTATGATTTCCATTGTGTTTTACGTGGCTGCTCGTTACGATTTTGAGAAGTCCCTTATAACGATTTTACGATTACGATATATATAGAAATACTTTCAATGATGATGAATTTACTCTCCCTTGTCCCTCGTTCTTACCAGTCGCGCGCACAGCAACAGCTTCAGAGCTTACCTATACGCAGATGGAAATCAGGCAGAGCATGGCTGATTGCGGACAGCAATAATTGGAACAAGGGCAATGTTGGTCCCAGCGGGCACGTACATATACATCGGAAGAGGTACAGCACGCACTGGGTGCTCACATCGCTGTTGGTCAGCCTGAGCGCGTACTTGCATCACCCAAAAGGGTAAGCCGACAATGCGACGCACATGTTCAGCACGAGCAACACCGCGCTGTCACTCTGATGGCGCGACAACAGCCCGTCTTATAATGTGAGAGCATTTATGCATTCAACCCATCTCGGTCAACTCTGTTCGGTGAGTGGGCATGGGTGTGACGGCAGCTAATGCAGTTAAGATACTGGCTGGCAGATTGTGTTTTTTCAGGTGGCCAGGGGGGTGGCAGACAATCTCATGATACCCAAAAAAAACATGTGGTGAGGGTGAGGGCAGGAATCACATGTGACGGTTACACAACACGCACTCCTCCAATATTGCCCGCAACCACACGCCGGTCAATCGTTTTTTTCTTCTTGTGTTGTGACCGTCACACATCTACATCATTGTTACTTGGCTTGGAATGCGGTGCATCTGCTACCCTCCCATCGCCCGGCGAGTTCTCGAGGGAATGCGAAGAATTACCCACGCATCGTCGTCCGCCCCAAGTCCGCTTGACCGGGAGGGCGCCAGTCGTCCCTGGTGGCAATCGAAATTCCAAGGCCTGCACTCGCCTAGATCATCGACGACTCACGCACGGCTCCAAGTGGAGACGGTCGGTTCGAGAGGGAGGCTTAAAACAGACGCGCTCGGGCTCATTCCCCCCTGCAAACATGTCTGGCTCTGTGATTTCAATCTCCGTAAGGTTAGTCCAGGCCTGCGTAGTCGGACGTTGCGCCCGCAACGACATGCTAGCATGAGTAGTCAGACGCAGGTGTGGTCGTCAGCCATGGTCATGCATGAACGGCAGTGTGTACCGAGCCTGCTGCTACTGTAGAGCAAGAGATGGCACGGACAATAGTCGCGAGGTCGCCCTCGTGCCGGCAGAAACCTAGAATTTAGAGTGGTTTTGAGTCCCTGTTTGGTGTTGCTTGTCTAAAGTCATCCTCGATGCCGTTGATTGATGGTGATCTTCTCTGGTGTCTGTGTTCGGGGATGTCCGCGCCCGTTGAGAGACTCCACAGAATATTAATGGAGCGGCGCGAGGCCAAGCTAGAAAACACAGGCGATGAAAAGCAATATTGCCCGTGTCAGCTCCGAGGATAGCGCCTGTTTCTATTTGCCTGGCCTTCGCTCTAGGTAAAACCACGGTCGGTCAGCTAGGCGATCCTCCGCCGAAAACCAGCAACGGCCGCCAGAGGGCGACAATAGTCTCGGGAAAAGATTCATTAGATGAAGACGGAAAAGAAAGGGGATAGAGCCGGATCGGAGGGAGCAAGTCAATCCCGTATAAGGTATGGATGTGTGGGTGTGTCACTAGGTATTGTATGCGAGAGATCAGAGCTGCTGCGGCCTAGTACAGCCTTTTCCTGCCCATCTCAAGCGACGACCTGTCATTCGCTGCCCGGCGCCCGCTGGCTGATGAATCACAGGCCTACTGTTATACGGACGAGGACATCATCAGCTCAGACCCTGGCCCGCATCCATGCAACACACTGGGAGTTGTGTGGGGGTCAGCGTGGTGTTTCATGCAAGTGCTCGTCTGATCTGTCAGTCCATCCTTAAGCAATAACTGTTATATAGCGCCAGGGCCAACGCCCATCCTGAACTTTTTTCTTTTTCCTGGCGAGGCGGGCAAATCGTAGAACCACGAAGGTAGCTCGAGCCATGGTCGGGGCGGGGCACAATGCAAGGCCCTCTGGATGCGTCTGGCTGGCTGCCTGGCCGCCGCCCTCCTGCAGCCCGCTCCGTTAGCCTCTCCCTAGCAGCCTCCAACATTGTTTCAGCGTGTACTGTGCGGGCTGGCAACGGGCCCAGGCTCCAGCAGCAATAATATGCCCGGCGCAGAGAAAATTAGTTTCCAATGTTCTCGTCGTCATGCAGATGATGGACCAGGGCTCTGGTGCTCCAAGGTGGTGTGGGTTCACTCTTCGTCGGTGGCTGCAGCGCAAAGCGGGCCCAGGGCCCCTCTAAAAGCCCGCTGGCCACAGGGAGTCAGGGACCCTGCAGGGTGCCTCGAGCCCTTCGAAGCCCAACCATGCTTGCCATGCTCCCTGGGACTAGTGGTGCTACGGGGCCCTTGCGCCCGTGGTAAGGCCGGCGAATCGCTGCCCTCTTGGATCGGATAGCTACAACTTATTATTAAGAGAAATGAGTTAGAATTCTGGGGATCTCGAACGGCCAGCATGCTGATGGAGACTCGGTGCAGCAGCCGGGTCGGGCCATCTTCTACCTTGACCGACAGGGTCGCACGACAATAAAATGGCAGGTAAGCGCCAATTCAGCCTCTGCGCGCGAGGCATGGAGCCCGGAGGCATTCCATCGCATCCAGCCAGCAAGCCCGGGATACCCAACCGAGCAACTCCTCTGCCGGAGGTCTGTCGCTCATTTAACCACCAGGCCAGCCAGCCATGGCTCTTCCAGGGCACTGGGGCGATCCAGGGTGCTCTCAATGGCTTTCCGAGGTTACATGCAGCCGTTGTACATACACATCCCTCCGCCTTGGCTCTGCCAAACCCATTTATTTTCGCTAAGGATCCAGCGACGGCGCTAGAAGTAATAAACCCGTACGTCTCAGGAATTACTCATCGTTTTGCGCTTTTTGATAAGATAAATGTAGGTGCAGCAGTGCGACTTCGCGATGTTTTATTCCCTCTTTCCAAACTGATGAGGTAATACTGCAGCTGGCATTTCATTTCATGTGTTTCTAGATTGACTAAAAGAGAGGGGAAGCGGAGGGTCCCGAAGCAGGGCTACTATTAGCCGGCGGCTGGACTCAGACTGCCTACCTACCAAGGCATACCGAAAACTGAGCGAAACACCACGGCGATGGTGGTCATTTTCCAACAATGGATCTATCAACTCATCGACTAGGTATGTAGACGGGGTTGTGTAACAAGCAAATAAGCAAATGGCCACTTATAGAAACGACAAATGGAATCGATCCTCCATGAACGATGCGGAGGCAGCACAGACCAAGGCTCGATGTACCTGTACTCGACACAATGTACACGGCCGGGGACCGTTATTATGTACAGGCTTTGGTGCCACGAATCTCCAATCCCCATCGAAGGGTTCAGGATGACTCGGTAGACGGTAGCTAGTCTTGTTTTCCCTGTCATCCGTCCCCAGAGTCATGCGTTGGTCGATACTTGTTCTGCCCTCGCTATAGACGGGGAACACTGTGCAAGACGATCGCTCTGGGGCTCGTATCTCGAGGGTCCTGATTCATTACAAGTTGCCCTTATTAAGGCTTTCTCGACCTCAGGAACTAGAACCGAGGTAAGCTCCAGCAGCAAGCCGACCAGTCAGGCAGCAAGCACGGTACCCACCATCATGACCTACCTTGCCTACTCTGTAGTTGGCCTCCGTGCAGGAGGAATATCCCCCGAACCGGCCAGGGCCCAAAAGAGGGACCAGCGTTTATTAATACCTGGGCGGGTGCTCTCTGCCCAGGTCTCACGGTGTGTGGTGGCATCATAAGTGGTGCTTGGACCGCTCTGGAGAGGACCCCCAACTTTGTAAACTGTGCTCTCTCCTCCCCCCCGCCCGTCCCCCCACTGCGAGAAAATACTACGGCATGGACTCGCACTCAACCGCGCACCAGGGGGGTAAAGCTGCGGGTCCGTAGTGCGGTTTGACGCAGCGAGTTGGATCTTGTGGCGACTTCGGCACTATGTGCGCCGGGGAGCCAAGCAGGCCAAGCTCCTGGCTAGCCCACTGGGAATGCGAGCCCACGGGTGGGCGACATCGCATCGGGGCCCGTGTCGGTACCAAGTCGAGTCGCAAGCGCAGCACGCTGGAATTGGAAGTCTGTCGGACGGTAGGTAGGTAGGCACTAGTTGCGAGTTAAAGGCGATGGATGGCTGCCATAGCACATAGCACCTTGATCTTAGGACCGACGGGGTACCTCCTACCTGCGCGAGTGGAGGTTTTCTAATAAAGTTACTCCAACACCGTTCACTCTAGCCAGCGACCGAGTCCCAGTTGGCATTCCATTTGTCCATCCTCGTAGCCCGGAAGCCGTCACCAGAGCCTGGTTTTTATCTTCTCTTCCATCGCTGTGCTCAGATTTCGTCTTGCTCGTCTGATCACGTCCAGAAAGCCTGGATGAGCAGCTGTTCCCAGGACGGCCTCAGACACATGCTCGTGCTGCTTACAGGTACCCTCACCTCGACGCCCACGTACCCGATACGGCCGCAGCCACCTTGTCTCCGGCCACCACCACCACCACCACCAGCTCCAGTTCCAGCACCCGTACCGCACCTCTAGCACACCCATCCACTGCACTGGACACACTGACTTGCCTTGCTTGACGTGTGGGGGGCCCATTCCCTCCGTCATTTCTTTCCTCTGCCCGCCCATCCTTCTCATCCCCAACCGCCTCACCCTCGCGCAAGCACACATTTGCCCATGGCTACTCGAACAGCGATGCCGCCTACCTTGGGTCCGGCCGCACGCATGAACCCCACGACGACAGAGCACGACTTCCGCTTTCCTCGCCGGCCAACTGCTCGCGACAAACAGCAGAACCTGAGTGGAGGGCGCTGCTATCCGGCCGCTGCCATGCCCTCCCGCCGCCCCAACCCTAACCTGGCCGTGGAAAACGAGGCTGCCAGCAACGAATTACTTGGCCCCTCCCTCTTCCCTCTCCTCAAGGACGCCAATTCCGGCTCCGACCAGACGATAGCGCAGATGCAGCAGGACGACCCTCTGGCTACTCAGATCTGGAAATTCTTCAGTCGCACCAAGCAGGAGCTCCCGCACCAAGAGCGCATGGAGAACATGACCTGGCGGATGATGGCCGTCCAGCTGCGCAAACAGAGGCAGGAGGAGCTGCAGAAAAAGTACGGTGCCGCCTTGATTTTTTTTCTTCTGATTTTCCCGTTGGCTCTTGCAGCCGACGTCTTCTCAAGCCGTTCTGCACCTGTTCTCTTTTTTACCTGTGCGGTTGCGATGCTTATCTACGAGATGCATCCCGCAGGGTTCGTTCCGTCCAATGCGCTAACCTCACCATTTATCACAGGCTTGTGACTGGTCGGCACACGATGCAACAGAATACCCCAAGCGGCATTGCCCAGTTGCGCTTCTCCGAGGCCGTGGCCAATAGCCATGAGAGCACGGATCCAATGAACATTGACGACTTCATCTTCTCTGAGAATGCCGCAACCCCTGCCGGCATCTCATTTTCTCCCTCACCACAGTTAAAGCACTCAGATACCCATCCACCACTAAATGCCCACACAGCAAATGGCATTCTCATCAAATCGCGCAAGGACAGGATCCAGCAGCAACACCTCCAGAACCAGTTTGTCCCACAGTCTGTGCCTGAGCCTACGCAACATCCTACCAGCGAGTTCAATTATGTCAACCGCCATGTTCGCAAGACGAGTATAGATGATCGCCGGGTGAGTTTTTTCTGTTTTCTCCTCTTCATCTTCTGTTCAACAACCGTGTCTATTTAATGCCCCGGTCTCATTTACATCATGAATGTCACCGATTATGAGCAACCCGCGCTACCCCCTCTCCCTACCCCCCTTTCCTCTTCTCTTTTCACCGAGGGTCCAACGATCCTTGCCTCTCAAAACAACCGCTCTCAAAAGCCACCCCAAGATATGAATTGTTTGGCTTCTTTTATCGGTTCATGAAACTAAACTGCTCTCCAGACGCGGAAGCGCCCAGCCAACTTCTCCCCGCATGTTCCTGCGGTTAACAGCGGCACAAACGCTGCGCAACATGATCTTGAACCTGACTCCGAACTCCATGACTACTCCCTTGACACCTCCGCCCACATCGACATGTCTGGCCAACCCCCTGTCCAAAGTTTCAATTTCGACACTTTCATGGAGAATGAGCCTATCATGACATCGGCTGGCCCCTACCAGCAGAACTTCTCCTTCTCCCCCGGCACATCCCCTATGGTCTCAACTGGTCCTTTCTCCAACATGTTCAACAATGCAGGCATCGCTGCCGGCTCAATGAATGCCAACGAGATCTACTCGCCCACTGGCTCCGCCTACCAGTCCGCAGTGACGACACCTCATCCTATTACCGACAGTGACAACTTCTACTTCCCTCCCCAGGACATGCGACAACATGCAGCACAACACCTGCAAGGAGCCGCCAACATCAATGGTCAAGTGAACCAGCAACTCATGTATGATCGCTCTCAGGGCAACGGGAGCACCGCAATGTTCCCCTCGCCAAATTCCGGTCAGGACTCGGGCACGTACAATGGTACTGCTCCTTCTACCTTCGGGCACATTGATCCCACTCAGGTCTTCCAGTCTGAGCAATCACTCACCTCTAACGGAGTGCCCATGTCAAATGAGAACAACATGTTCAACTTCGGCGGTGAATCCGACGATGAAGACAACGCATTTTCTGACCGAACTATGGGTGTCTCCGGCGAGTACCCGTCCAACGGCGATGACGCTAGCACTATGGGCTGGGATGCTTCTTTACCCGGTCAATTCAGCACTCAAGCTGCTCGATTCCCGGGCGGGCCTATCCGGAAGCAGGTTTCAATGGGAAACACGCCTAGCGAGTACGATGAAAACAACGGAAACTGGGAAAATGGCAGTCTGGGGCGATCACAGTCGTTCCGACAAAGGCAGCCCAAGCTCTCCCGCACGGCCTCAACGTCCTCGCATATGGCAAGCAATTCCAACGGTCTCGATCACCTCGCCATGACAATGCCAACCTCGCCAGAGAATGTGCACGGTTCCATGTCAGGTTTCTCGTCAGTCGCCCCTAGCAGACCTTCCTCGCCACCGATGTCCAAATCGGGTTCTTCTACCAATCTTCAAGGTGGTTCTGGTGGCCAAAACGATGGAAATGGCCCTACCACGTGTACGAACTGTTTCACTCAAACAACACCCTTGTGGAGACGTAATCCTGAAGGTCAGCCGTTATGTAATGCGTGTGGCTTGTTCTTGAAGCTCCATGGTGTTGTGAGACCGTTGAGTTTGAAGACCGATGTCATTAAGAAGAGAAATAGAGGCTCTGGAGCCAATCTCCCCGTTGGATCATCGAGCACACGGCCCAAGAAGGGCGGAAATTCTAATGTGGGATCTCGCAAGAATTCCTCCTTGTCACTCTCAACCTCGATCGCTACCGCCAATATCAACGGCCCTAGCAACAACAAGGGTGCAATGAGCTCTGCCAGCACCACCAACGTCAATACAAGCCCTCTTGCGCCGAAATCAGCCAGCGGGAACGAAGGCGAGAGCCCAGCCAGTGGTGGTGGAACTTCTGGGGTGAACACAGCCGGTAGCACGCCCAACAGTCATTATGGAAGCACGGGCTCTTCGACTGCTGCTATGGGCGGCAAGGGTGTCGTTCCAATCGCCGCCGCTCCACCCAAATCAACCCCAGGCCCTGGTGCTTCTTCCATATCAAGAAACACGACCGCGTCATCAAAACGGCAGAGGAGGCATAGCAAGAGTGGTGGTGGTGACAGCCGTGCATCTATGGACATTGATAGTCCTGAATCAACAGGCTCCAACGAGGCTGCTCGAGCCCTGGGGACCAGCATGCCTATCCTCCCCGGTGGCATGATGCCAGGAAGCTTCCACATGGCACAACGCCCAATGATGAACAGTTCCAGTATGGTCCAGCTTGGCGGAGCTCAACAGAAGCCGCCAATGAATGGACCTGTAGGCTCTGCCGGTCCCCAGGAGTGGGAGTGGCTGACAATGAGTCTGTGATCGTCTTTTGATCAGATGATATGGAGGCGCCCCTTTTCCAATGAAACGGACGATGTAGCAACATATTGGTAAAGGCGCATCTCATTACCTTGTTGGTGTTTATTTTGGCGATATTACAAGCGGTGATGACGGAGTACTCACGACTCATAATTACGATTTTTTTCAATATATGCAACGGCACTCAGATATCCTTTCTTATATACTAATCACGTTATATTGGGTGGCGCTGGAATGATGGCTCGCAGGCTTTTCCTCGATTTTTTTTTTTCAATTTTGTTCTCAAGGGTCTCGGATGGGATGTTTGCTGGGCTGGCTTTGATACCTCGACTGCGGCTTCAGATGGTTTATGTTTTCGCTCCCTTTTTTCTTGGGTTCACTTATTAGATGGAGGATTTGGGACGATGCTTACCTGGGATATAGATGCACTTTGGCGTTACGACAATCCAGTGACAACCACAAACACGTCTTGATTGCATTTATGGACGCTAGGGACGATATGTCAGCGGCTGGATAGTTGCCTGTCTACTTTTAAACTCTTGATACCTCTGTAACAGAAGCAAATAGGCATATCCTTAATGACTGACGAATATAAACATATCTTTGAAACTGTCTCGTTTTTTTTTCCTTTAATCTCGTGAAACTGCCGTTCTAGTCCTAATGAGTATCATCACAGTGAGAGGTCATATTAAAACAATTTCCCTGCATTCCGTTTCTGCGGCCCAGGTTCCGCAGTGCGCGCGCATCTAATAACAGACCATCTCTATTTCCCTCAAACAACCAGGTTGTCGTTACTCCCACCCCGTTTTCGTGCAAACTCCTGGCCAAAACAAATGCAAAAGTACAAGTACCGAACAAGCCAAGCAATGAAAAAAAAAATTAATAGTAGGGAAGGAGAAAGGTAAAGAAGAGGATGATAAGAAGAAGAAAAAAATGCATCATGCCCTGAGCCTGTCTTCAGGCAAAATCCGTTCGTTCCACTCCAGAACACTCCCCTCTTCTCTTTTTTGCCGGGGGGGCTGAAGAAGACGAGCCAGAAGGCAAGATTGCATGTACTTGACGGGCCCGCGCCAAATTAGAAACTCCAAATCTAGGCCGCTGCTCACTCTAAAGCATCGTTCCGAACGTGTCATCGCTGGTGGGGATGCGCTTTCTCGGGCTGCCACCATCCTCGGTTGCAGGCTTGCGGTGGCGGAATGTGAAGCCAACAAAGAGGCTCTTGCTCATTTCATCTTCACGCTCTGCCATCGTCTCGAGGGCCTGCTGTTTCTCGTGGACCTCCTTGTATTTGGCCATGTCGGCCTCATTGCTGAAGTCGTCGAAATAGCCCGCATCTGTCTCCGAGTCCAGCTCAGGAACGAACGGCGCCCTGCTCTGACGGAGGGTATCCCAATCAACTTCAGCAAAGTACTGATGTTCAAAGATATCTTTGATGTTCGAGAACCGACGGCTACGAGAGTTGATGCAACTGTTACAGTTAGCTTGCTTGATCACATGCTAGAAATATCTTCGTCGACTTACGTAGTAATGAAGTTCCATGTACGGTTGCTCAGGAAGTAATTCGGGTCTTCCCAAACAGGACGCTTGAGCACCTCCTTCCAATGCTTCAAGTTGCGCCAGGTCTCATCGGGGGACGCACCTGCAAAAGGTGGGAAACCTGTGAGCGCCTCGAACAACATGCATCCAAGACTCCAGTAGTCGACTGTGTAGTCATACTCTTCCCCCCTAAGGACCTCTGGTGCCATGTAGTCAGGTGAGCCCACGATCGACTTGGCGTAGTTGACATCGTTATCTCGCATATTGCGATAACTCTCACGACGCTCGGCTACGGTCCGCTGGTCCATGGGCTTTCCAAACGGCACAGCAGTCTCGGAGGCTTTCTCTAGCTTAATTCTCATGGACTCTATTTTGGATGGTGCAAGAACACCAGCAGCAAGTCCAAAGTCAGTCAATTTGACATGACCCGTCGAGTCCACGAGGAAGTTCTCGGGTTTGAGGTCACGGTGAATATAACCTAATTGATGCAAAGCATCAACAGAACAGAACATCTCGGCGATGTAGAAGCGAGCATGACGATTTGAAAGAACACCTGTATTGTTAAGAAGTGTCCGGAAATCACCGCCAGGAACGTATTCCATAGCGAGATAGATGCTCTTCTCGTCTTGGAACGAGTACAGTAATCGGACCAGCCACTCGCTCTGGGCGGTTGTAAGAATATCTCGCTCCGTCAAAACGTGGCGAACTTCGTCCAGTTTGAAGAGCAGCTTCTTGCTCATGACTTTCAATGCACACACCTCACGGGTGTCCTTCTTCTGTGCAAGAAACACTTGGCCGTATCCACCTTGACCAACCTGGGTGAGGATCTGGAAATCGCCATGGCGCAGGCGGACTCGTCGTTTCCGGAGATTTGCCCTCTCCCTGCCCGCGTATTTACTCCACATCTGGTTGAATGTGTCTTCGTCAGTTGTCGGTGGAGGAGGGTATTCCGACTTGAAAGCTTGCAGACGATTCTGTCTCGCTCCAACATATGTAAGGAGGTCAAAATAATAATCAAGGAAGTCTAGTACTAGTCGTTAGTAATTGAGGCAGGGAAGTTAGAGGAGGCTCTTCTTACAAAGCTGCGTCACATTGACCATTCGGCGAACATTTGGCTTTTGTAGTATTTCTCGCTCCTCGGGCGTGAGACCCCTTGAAGTATTGAACCTCTTCACTGGCGCTGATGACCGCTCGCGGTGTTCATATAACTGTTGCCGGGTCACGGCCGCGTGGTTGTGCTGGATTGGGGAGTCTGCTGCCGCCAGGCGAGACATTGGCGGTGTATTTTCCTGTCCTTGCTTCTTGGAAGGACTTCCGGGGGATGCACCTTTGTGAATTACGCTGTCGTCGTAGTTGGGATTGGGGTTGGCTTCGTCCAACGGGTTGGGTTTGCCCTTGCCTGGGGACAGCTGGGTGGTGATGACGCTTTGAGGGCGGGCAAGTTTAACTGGTGCCTCAATACCACTGGCTTGGAGATTCATCGCATTGTCGAAGACGGAAGAAAGGTCATGGGCTCCAGGAGGGATGGTCTTTTTGCTCGGGCTGCCTTGAGGTGTGCTCGTTGGGCCGACAAAATTGTTGTTTTTGTTTGGGGTTATCGGGCGAGCCCCAGCTTCTTCTGGTAGCTTTTCCTTCCCGCCGGGAAAGAAGCTAGACATGAAGCTGGCCATGGTGGGCTGCTTTGGTGTTGTTCGGGAGAGGCAGGCTTTGCGGAGCAGGAAGCTTCGATTGTTGGATGTTGACACGCGGCAGGTCTATTCCTAATCGTCGGCTGAGTTGGACACCGAAGCGACTGAGGGCAAACACAGCAGTATTTATCAAGGTTGGTGATGCTTCGAGGACCCGATGTCTACCAACAAGTGTTTGTCCTGCTGCAGGGTTAAAAGTTGCAACGGAGGGGTAGATGGATCTCAGCAGGCTCTCAGGCAGGGCGGTGGGCGTGTTTAGCTGATATGCCGCTGTATCATTGGACGGGCAGGAGCTTCGTGGGTTCCGACGTCAACACTGTTGCTATCGCAACAATCTGGAATCCCCAGTGCCCCGCCTACCCTAAACTACCCTAGCCGCCGCCCATCCAGCGACGCCACGGGGTACTTGTCCGCTACAGGGAGGCGATATGATCGCCGGTACCGCACCGACTATTAATTGTTGGATTCCTTGGGCACAAGCCGCGCATTCCATCTCCCCTGGCAGCTGCAGTGGCTTGTCAGTGCATGCAGTAATCGTCGGGCTGGTCGCCATTCTTTGCGGCCAGAACATCCAATTAGCACAGTTTGGCGTTGCCGGCGTGAACCCTCGTTACTCAGGCGACGAAAGTCTCGGCCATGAAACTGCAGCATGAACCGGCCCAACGTCTCACAATTCTGCAAGCCTCCAGGCATCCACAACTGCAGGGGCGGAGGGTAAGAAACCAGAGAGCAGGAGAAGAAGACGCTGTTGCGATATTTCCTCAGGCCTGCAGTCAGAATAACATACATCCAAATAGATGGTCGGCTGAGCTGGACCGTGTCATATTAAATGGCTACCCTTCCACTGGACCCTGCATTGGGTAACCCTCCAAGCCATCCCACCTCCTTGGCGCCGGCTTGGTCTTTCACATGTTCTTCAAGCTTGCCAGGACAAGAGCGCCCACACCATTTATATCTTGGCCGCAAATATATCCCTCAAAACCTTAAACGGGTCCCGAAGCAGCGCAAAATGTCATGTCATTCCCCACGACAGGTAGGTCGTAGTGTAGCTGGCTAGAGATGCTTCCAATAACTCCCGAATTTAACCGTTGAAGTCTTGATCTAATCTTATCAATCACCCACCCGAGGTCACGTTTAGCATCATATCATCTGATCACCTGGCCCAATATAGCAGGCAGCCTAGCATAGCCTACAAGGCTATTGCTCCGCTTCCCTCCTCCATATAAAGAGCGGTTTTTCTATCAATCACTCACTGCTATTTCCCCCCATTACCTGCAGTAACTACATTTTGATGGTTTTTTGGGGATAGACAGGCCAATATGAAGCTCACGTCCGTTACTGCGGCTCTCACAGGTGCGGCCGCCGTCCTGGCTGTGCCCTCGCCAGTCAAGCCCGACCATGCGAAGGTGGCTAAAATCCCGACGTCCTATGAGTCGGCCGTCATGGGTCGTCGGGTTCTCGCGCTATCGAAGCTCGCGACCTTCTCAACTGTCTTCCCTAACGCTCCGTCTGCTGATGACGATAACGCCTTCGCCAAAAGCCCGAGCGGCCTTGAAGGTCTGCCTATTGGCTTGATGGACTACGTTGCCGACTGCGAGGATGAAGGAAACCCTACCATCTTGGCCATTACCATCGGCACCAGCTTCAGGAACGCTGCCGCTGGATCCAACCTCACCTTGTCAATGAGATGGGCTCCACCATACCCACCTCTTAAGAGAATGAGCCTCATGTCTCGGGTCAAGTCCTACTTCTTCTCTTCTCCCAGTGACGGCCTCACGACCCCCGATACCGTGCCGTACTCTGCCGCCAACCTCCCTCGCTTCTCTCTCGTCGGCTATCTGGAGTACTTCGAGCCGGACCCTATTGAGTCAGTTCGGCTCGCGGCATGCTACACAAGCAAGCACCACGATGCCAAGTGGTGGCTTCCGGGCAATGTGATCCACGAGAGCAAATGGGCGAGATTGGTGGTGACGCACATTTACTGGATCGGAGGATTTGGAGACCGAGCCTACATCGGATGGATCCCTCTTGAGGAGTGGAAGAAGGTGACCAAGGAGGAATGGTCATCGATCGAACTGCCAGGCGAGAAGAAAGGCTGGGGAGAGTGGAGCGTGGACAACATCATGGAGCTTTGAGCCCGAGGGGAGGTGAGCTGCGTGCAGCAAGGAGCAAGGTTTCGCGAGCGGGATAGTTATGATTCATCATGATGTTTCAACGAGAGGCACATCATCAATTTGGCCGGTCCTGTTTCAGTCGAGATTGGATTACTAGGGTTACTTATATCTGCAGATGGTACTACTTATTAACGACTAGCTGCTCATTGTTTTATCTTCCGTGGTGCTAATATACATACATTTGCTCATCAATTGCCGAAACAACCTGGTGGAACTTAAGATTATCTAGGCCACACCTAGCAAGTGAGCGTCCGTCGGAATAACATGGACCGCAGCCTAGTTTCCAAGTCTCAACTCTGGTGCGGGCCACAATATTTACAGACAATAGATTAGAATGTGAATAAACCATCACCACTAAGTACGATTATTAGACAGTATTGTTGTTTGACTACGGCGTGCTAAGATTACTTGCTGTCTGGGTGCCTAGACTCCTCCGCGATTAGTTACGAGCAGTCGAGTGGTGGCTGGTGAAGAGAGTGCAAGCCACGTAAACTCAATTCGTGCTTCATGTATTTTTATCAAGGAGCCCTCCTCAGCTTCGGGCAAAGATATGGCCGGAATAGAGATGCGATCTGATTTGTTGGACTACTGCCAGTGGGAACTTGGTGTTGAGGGAACAACCCTGCTCCCTTCAATTGGTCGCTTACCAAGCGAATGGGTTGCGTGAGCTTTCCCACGCGAACCGGGTAAGAAGTCGGAGGTGGCGGAGACAACCCAACCAACGGGGAGTCCGGGGGGCATTGATCGTTCCATACTTGTTTGGGTTGGGGATACATACTTTGGCGGACTTTGGTCCCGAGATCGTGCGTGAGCTAAATTCAGGCTGAGAGCAAACTACCAAGGACCGAAGAACCCCTAGACGCACCAGTAATCCGGCTGGTCGGAAATTGTGCGGGTGGCAAACTGGTAGGCTCGGATAATGAGAACGGGGGAAGCAGACCACCAAAAAGCGTAGATGCTGTTGGGACTGGTTAGGTAGCGGTGGAAGAGGTCTGAAGGATCGAACTGCTTGCTCAAGAGGCGTTCCTCGCGTGTTATTGGTTTGATTTCCTGCCGAGGGATGACAGAGTAACATGATCTTGCCCAGCCTTGATAGGGCGTCTGGCGGGTAAGGTGGCCCGTTTCTCGGTGCCCAGGTGAGAAGTAAGGTACCTACGGCGAATCGTGCGTGCTTTATTGGGCAAGAAGCCGGGGGAATGTAGTATGCAGCACCCTCAACCGTGGCGCACCCGCCGCTGGTACGCGTAGCAGAGTAAGACCTGCAGCCCAGCTCGCTCGACAACTGGATGAGGGGAGGGGTCGGGGTCGCGTGCAACCAATTTTCGCGGATGGGGACAGCGCTGGCTGGCTGGCTGTAATCATGGGGCTTCTGATAGGCCGGCCGCCAGCCGATGGTCTCCGACCGATCACCATTCACCAGAGAAGCTATACTATGAAATCGAAGACGCCACGCCCGCAGCCGCTCGGCTCAAAAAAGGAATATACCAGAAAAGAGAGATTTGGGAGAGATCGCCGGCGACGCAATGTGACAATTCACTGATGCCGAAGCGACAGGGGGCCGATGCGTGGCCTATGTGGCTTACACGGCAGAACACCGACGCTCAATCAATGGGTGGATGCTGTTGCCAGCAACGGGCTCACTAATCGTGTGCGACGATCAGGAGGTCTCTAGATCGGCCGTGCGCCCAGTCCCGGGCATATTCCAGCTGGGCGTGTGAGGCAGGCCTAAAGGGCAGGTGTAGGCACTCCATACCTGCGTCGCAGTCAGCGGTATTAAACACCGCCTTTCCCTCCAATGGACGCCAAGCGGGCTGGGTCCGCATCTGGCCTTCCAGATGTTTTAGCGTCGAGTGGGCCCCTGTGCGCAGTGTGGCCCGCTGAACCTAGAACCGCACTCCCCTTACCCCACCCCCCTGTTTTTTTCGTCTAGCAGCCGCGACCACCGCCCCGAGCCCCAACCAGGACCTGGCAGGGAAGGACTGACGGGCACGCCAGCTTCCCTTCTTCCCCCGGGCCATGCAATACCACATTGACTCGTATCCGCACCTCATCCGAGTTTAGCTCCAACGACCTCATCGTCCACCCACAGTCTCGACATAGATCCTTATTGTCTTCGCCATTTTGCACTTCGCACGACCTGGTCTGCTGGCTGCGGTCCTCGACGCATCGACATCCGACTCAATTATTCGAAGCCACTGCCAACGTCCAAGACCCTCTTTTCTGGCCTGTGCGAGCCTGCGAGCCTAAGCCGCAAACCGATCCTGCATAAGCCCTTCGAGATTCGCGGCGCGACAATTTTCCTCGTCCGAGTTCCCGAACCGACGTACGCTCTTCTTGGGCACCGTTGCGAACTGCCCGACCCGGTTTCTCTCCTGTTCTTTTGTCGAGTTCGCAACGGGATGGCGCTCCCTCTCCTCTCTGGATCATGACCTCGAGGACCCCGATGGGCGTCCAGCAGCGACCGCCCCAACGAACGTTGAGCAATTCCTCGCTATCAACACCCAGACCGTCGACCCAGCAGCGAACCCTTTCTCAGCAGCATATTCCCTCATCGCCCGTACGGAGAGAACCCGGTGATCAGGCATCAGACTCGGGCGATGCGCCCCCTGGCCGGCATGGCATCGGCACACCGAGGCGGGGAGCCTCGCGGCTTCGGCTAGAGCTGTCCAACGAGGCTGTATCTCATCTACAGATAGCTGTCGAATCGCCGCAAAGTATGACTTCGGCGCGAGCCCTTACATTGGGCGGCGACGGCACTGTCGATGGCGCGAATAGCCCTGCCCTGTCTCGCGTCTCTCACCAAGAAAATAATACTAATAACCCTCCCCTTCCTATGCCGAAGCGTCCAAGGTACCAAACATCACAAAAACCAGTGCGGCCCAAGGAATCGCCGTCGCCGACCGTTGGCGGGAAGAAAGACGGCCGCCCGAAACCGTATACTGTCGAGATACCTCCTGATGCGCCTCGACTTGCGCAGACCAAGAGAAACGAGCCAACAAACGGGGACTTGTTTGGGAAGGCCCTTTTCTCGGGCTATGGAGACTTTTTTCCGTGGTCTGGAAATCACTTCGAAGACGAGTGGTCAACCGAATCCATCACAAAAGGCACCTGGGAGAAGCCCAGCTCCACGGAATCATCACCTGCCAGGCTTGCCATTCTCCCAGCGCTTAAGCAAAAGAATGGGTTAAGTGCTTTATCAACTATTTATATGGGCGTCTTGAATCAGCGAAGACAACGCGGGCAAATTACCGCACCGTCGACCTTTAAACCACCCCCTCGAGTTACCCTCACCGATACAAAACGCGAAGTCTGGCTCAAGGACCTCGCGAACCCTGCAACATCGCTTCGCCGCCTCAGCCGTACAATCCCCCATGGCGTCCGAGGGCGAGTATTGCTCGACCAATGCCTGAATAAAAGAGTTCCTACGGAACGAGCGGTTTGGCTAGCCAAATGTGTCGGAGCGAATGAGATAAGAGCTTTCAAGAGAAAAGGCGTCAACGGCGCAGTTGTAATGGGGGGCGAAGCCAAATGGAGTAGGGATTGGACGGGATTCGTTGAGCAGTTTATTGACTCTGTCACTTCGGCCGTCCACGATGCTGACTGGAAGTCAAAGGTCACGTACGCGTACGTATCAGTCTTGCCCAATGTCTGACTCTGCTGAGCATCACAACTAACTGATCAATTTAGAATTCGGCTTGCATCAAATCTTTATTGGGAGCAGCTCCTAGATCGCGAACATTATTTGGAATGGATGACAGCAGGATTAGAAAGTAGTACCACAGGAAGACTCCCGATGTGGATCCTCATCGTGCGCATATACTGGTCGGACTTGCTTCGATCACGCAAGCATGGCAAGCGACTTGTTTATGGGTTTCTTCTTCATCTGAAATCAGTAAGTTCTCTCCATGCTCCTGGATTATAGATCCCTTCGCCTAACACATTGCACAGCTGTATGATGATCCGGACCGCGATGTTTTCACCCAGCTTTCAAATCAACTATCTTCAATTTTGCGAACACTTATCCAAAGCCACCCTGAAAGTTTTGTCTGCCCCCTGGATTGGTCAAAATACCGAGAAACACTCAAATCTGTCTTACCGGTAGAAGATCAGGTGGCCCAGAGGGCTTATTCGGGAATTAATGCTAGAAACGCATTTCTTGCCATCACGGGGTCTGCGTATACTCCCGCAGGGAAACAACAATTGGTGCGACTTCTCGACTCAACCTTTCGAAGATTTGTTGAACCGGATTTGGCCACTAAATGTTGGGAAATGAGTGATGACAAGTCTATCATCACGAGGACCCTGGTTGAATGGGCGACCTCGGCTTATCGTCCCGGTCTATCGAAAATCTATGTTGCGGCTAGCCTGCTACGATCCTGGGCTTCCATGGCTCGATTCGAGGCAACTCCATCTGTGCTCGAGGTGATAGATGGCGTTGATACTCACGATGCGGGCAGAAAGAACCAATTTTATCTGCTTGTATCGGAGCTCGTCCGAAATGGGAGTTTTTCCATTCCTTACTATCTTCAATGGTTAATTGCTAGAGGAGGTTTTCATGGTGCTTCCGATGTCGATCCTGATGACGGTCCATGCGCTACAAGGCTGCTCATTGAAATGCCAATACATTGTTTTCCGAAGAAGTGGAGGAATGAGAGGAGTAACCTTCTTCGTCGAGCCGGAGGATACTCGACAGAAAGCGAGGAGATCGACCTCTCTAATGCGATCAAATGTGTGGACCATACATTGGGACTCCCACTCCCAACTGATGATCCATTGTTTCAGCGAAAACCGCTTCCCCTTCGAAAGCTATTGGTCAGAATCAGAAAGAGCAGCCGTGCATGCAAGGCATCTATTGGGTGCCACCTCCGCGATGCTGTGGCTCGACAGGTTTCTGCTGATGGAAGCCCGCCTACAATGCTAGCGCTATTCATGTCTGCTCGGGCTATCCTCGAGACAGCTGAGGATTTTGCGATGCTCTCAGACACCATTCGAGCATGTTCGAAGGCCTCAGAACCTAGCATACTCGCTGCATGTGCTGACACTGTGAACGCTCATTTACCAATATTCCTCGGTATGGGGTCTGCAGTTGAAGTATTCCAGCAACTGTGTGAACGACTGAGGATCATTGTTCAACAAGGGGTGCTTGCTCGGCCACTCCTTGCCTCCATCTCATGTCTCGCCAACAGATTACCTGATCAGGATGAGTTAGCTGGCCAACTTGGCCAACAACTGCTTCAGTGCGATCGAAGTAGCGCTATCGACGCCTGTTCTCCGGTTTCCGACAACATGATAACGCAGTCTCAAGGGGCCGAAGGTGAAATATCCGACGAGATCGATAAACTCCTCGCCAACGGCAACAGTATCGACCACCCAACAATGAACAGGCTGTTTCGGACGCTTGTACCGAGGCTAGAGGTTGGATGGGCTAAACTTGACGAGAGCCGTAGAGTCTTCGCCTCCTTGTTGACCAAGATGCGCGTTTTTGACCCTCTACATTTCGATAAACTAATGACGGATTGGGTCAGCCATGTTAGCTCGATGGACTCGCGGCCTAAGCTTTTGGATCTTTACCCCCTTCTTCTAACTGCTGGCTGCTTGAACATCACCGTCTTACTCCATGCATCCAACATATCACCAGCTATGGTGTCGCAGGGCGTGAAAGGTAGTGGCCGGGTACCTCAACCCTATTTTCAAGAATTACTCGACTTACTTCTGGCAAAGATGCCCAAATCCAATACTTTGACAGTGGAGGAAGAGTATCAATTTACTGTCCACCAGCAGTCTGCCCAGCACGACGATCCAGCAATGTTCTTGTCTTTAATCCGAAGCGCGATTGTTGAGTATATCAGTATGCGAGACGTTCCAGACAAAGGTCACCTGCCCTTGGAAGATCCTAAACTCCGCTGGATGCTTACTGAAGGCCTGAGATACCTGGTCACGGTGGATCCGGCCGCTGTGAGCGAGTCTTTAAGCATCAATAACCTGCCAGATGGGTGCGGCGAGTTCCTGTCGTCTCTCTCAACCCGACTACTCTTGCCTGATAACGGCGAGGAAGTCCAGACGACATTCGACCAAATACTTGGTCTAGCCAATGAGCTGACTCTGCCCTTCTGCCAACTGAAGCTGAACTTGGATCTTTCCATGAATCAAGGCAACCCAACGGAGACCGACGAATCGGTAGACACCGGCGACGCATCGACATCTCGATTTGAGCTCTTCGCCACGGCCATGGATCGCGCGATCGAGGCCAACAATATTATTTGGACGAGTATGCTCCCATGTCTTAGTACAGATATAGCTCATCACTTGCGGAGTCTTGCCTACTCCAGATTTTTGGGCCTGGTTCCATCTCTCAAGTCGGTATCTTCTATCGAAGGAACCTCAGAATATCGAATCCACATGGCCGAAAACCTTATCGGCGTCATCGAAGCTATCAGTGCTGGGCAACCCTCACCGAAGACGTCTCAACTAAGTATACTTGCGGTGGAGAAACTGGTCGACCTAGGAGAGATCATTGCAAGCCGAGAGCACAAGGAATTGCTAATGGCTGTGTTGAACCATTGGCTTCCTGCTCTGCTAAGGCTGATTATCCTTCAAGGTCTTGCACGTGAGAATGCCACCCTTGGAGCTCCTTCAAGTGCAGGACCTGGCGGCAAGCTCTCGCTTGTCATAGTGAATTGTGAGGCCCGGGCTCGTGCATTTCTTGCACTTTGTAACTTGCTCCTCATCCTCCAGTGTCTGCCGCCTGAGGTTTCTGGTGCACTGAGCCAACAAGTATTCGACGTTGCCGTTGTCCTTGTCGATGCTTTACCAGACGATCTTCGCCAACAGTGTGCTAGGAATGTTCTTCTACTCCCCGGCATGATGGCCGGCTTGAATGTATCATCAGACCCACGTCTGTATTATTTACTGAGCACGCCGCAGCCGGCAATGGCCGACAATCTTGTGCTTGCACACAAAGACAAGCCGGGTACGCTCCACGGCAGTGGAGGACGGGGGATGGGTGCCATGTACGGCATCGGACCCTCTACATCACATAAGCTCTCCCCATTTCTGATGAGGCGATGGGAGATGCTTAATGAGTCCACCCCTAATGTGGGCGAAAACGACACCAGCCTAAGCCTCGGGCTTTTTGAAGCCATTAAGATCCAATAACAACAAAATTGTTTGTTACTGATCCTGGTGACCTTTCATTAATCACATCCGCTTCGACATTATTTTCCTTGCTTTCGCTTTTAATTTTGGTTTTTCATTTGTCTACATTGAACGACGATCGTCTACATGGTGTATGAGACACGTTCTACTACGGTTCCGGTTCGCGCCAAGTGATTTCTTCCTTGTTTTGGGGTAAGGCGGCACAGCATTGAGGCGGTTTAACGGAGCCTGGGAAGACTGAATTTATCTTTTTTTTTATACACATATTGGGATTGACAGCATTGGCATGCATGTATCTTTTCAGTTTAGCTGTTTCATCTTTGAGCTGCATTGGGAGCGAGCGTGGTGCAGGGAAAGCTGACTGGTGACGACAGTCGGGGTTTTGAGGATGTCAAGACGTAGGATAAGGTTTTTTATTATCATGGAGAGAGCCTGGGAATATCTCTAATTCTTGTGCGCATGCAATTCACGGTTATGGATATATGGGCCGTGGATGTCCGAATACGCATGATCTTGAAATATACAACTTCATTATGACTTTGTGTTACATAGTTATTCATATATGCTTATCAAGCTGCGAGAAGTCTACTGCTTTTGCGTTCTCGACGTGACGTGTCTAAAATGAAAACTCCCTCCTCGATCGCCCCTTTCCAACCACCCTTGACTCCTCCCCCGGTTCTCGTGGTTTCCATTCTTCACATAATTCCACCCGTCCCGTGACCATGCACTTCCATTCCCTCTCCCGATCATAGACAACGTTATCCTTGGGCCTGGAAAGCTCGTTTGCTCAACCAGTAAATCAAAAAGGGGAAGGACGAGGGAAACCAAGGGAGCTATTCCTACAGTGACGGTAGTACCGCGAAAACGATAACGAGGCAAGATAGCCAAATAAACACAACGTAGAGAGATAAAAAAAGAAGCGACTATGCCATGCTCTGAGCTACGTGACGATGAAACCGCGAGATGAACGGACGATGAGTCTATCGCTTTGGCAGAACAACGGATGTGTTGAGATGAGACAAGGTGAGAAAAGCAAAAAAAGATGGAAAATGTCGAGATTCATCACATCGTTCAGCAACGTGTAGCCCGCCAAGATGTCGGAGGAAGACAGAATAGAGTAAGATTAATCTTCATCAAAGATGTCATATGTGTTCTGGAGGATGGTGTCGACGACCTTGATCTGCCAGCCGGCGTCGGCGATGGCATTGCTGGGATCCGTGCCCATGATGGTGGGACCGAAGATGACAGCGAGGTTGTGCGAGTTCATCCGGTTAACGTGCGCATTATCCATGACGCGGTACAGGTGCAGGGAGAGTGCGCGCAGTGTGGCGTAGTTGGGGTCGGGGAGGCTATTGATGATGGCGTGCATGGAGTCTCGGCGAGCAACATCGTCATCATGTTCTGTGATTAGATGGTCAGTTAAACTCCCCCTCTCCTGAAGGGGCTGAGCGAAGTGACTTACTGGCAGCTGCAACAAAGCTATCGTGATGTTCCGAAGTCAAAAGGGGATCGGGAAGATCCCGCAGGAACTGCTTCAACAGTCCAGTGACGCTGTTGACGTCATGATAGAAGTTTTCGGGATTTCTGAAATCAAGAGCCGGGTTTTGAGAGTCTATCAGGCCATAATTAGTTCCCACCGTGGTGTTTATGTTAATGCTTCTTGAGAGTCATGGTACATACCTGTGTCAAACATGTGCTTCAGCTTTTGAACGTGAACCAGGGAACCAGACTGCCTGTAAATGCCTTCAACCCCCAGTCCGTACAAGTCAGCAGCCTGGATGCACTGGTGAACGACCAAAGGCACGGCCAAGCCGTCACGCTCATATAAACGGCTGAGATGCACACCAAAGACTGGCTTCGGTGGCGCAGATGTGGTTTGGATAGGGCCGGGAGACGCCGACTTTAAACCCGCCGATGTGTGGCTGCCCTGTCTCTCGTGCTGTGCGGCAGCGGCCTGGCTAGACTGGAATGGAAGAGCACCCAACTGAGGTGGCCCAACAGGACTACCAGGCGAATATGCTGGAGGGGGGTGACCACTTGAGGTCTGAACGCCGCTGTTGCTGCCATAATCGGTTTGACTGAAAGTCCGGTTGTGAGAAGGAGGGAAAGACGGTGGGTTCGGAGGCCCTGTTGGTGTGAAATTTGTCGGGTTTTTACCCAGCGAAGCTGGGTGACCCATTGGGGGGTTGATTGGGTTCAAACCAGTGTTGGTTTTTGAAGGAGGCCCCGACGGTGGGGGCGGACCAGCAGAGGATTGGGGAGGATGGGATTGGAGCGGCGCTTTATTGATTGAACCCTGATTAGACGGTTCTCTAGCATGCGAAGGCCCTGGGCCAAGAACCTAAATGGAAGTTAGCAGATCTCCATGGGCTTCAGGTGATGCGGCCTATATATTTACGGGATTTCGCTCATATTTCACATCGCCAGGGACGTGAGGGACCTTGCTCGATTGGGCAGAGATGTAGTCGTTGAGATCCCTTTCATTGTCGATCGATAGCACAGCGTTCCGAAGACTGCGAACAGAACTGGGGTCGGCGCCAGGTGCTGGTATTGGGCTCACGCTCAAACCGTTGCTCAAAAGAAGTTTCTCACTGAGGAGAGCTAGTTGAAGAAGAGTTGAAGTTAGTGACAGTTTCACATTGTGTGTACAAGGGTGTTTTACCATATTGCTGGAGCTGCAACGACAAGCCGGCGTCAATGTCTTTGATGAGATCCTGAAGGGCCCTGACAGCTTCGGGGCGAGTAGAAGTTTCGAGGTGATGTTTCTCTGTCTGCAACGTCTGCACATGGCTCTTGTAAGTCTGATCGGCATTCTGGACCTTCTTCAACAGATCTTCCTCTTGCTGAGCGGCAGACTTGTTCTTGAAGGCGTTGAAGACCTTGCCACTTTGCTTCTCTCCCGTCTTGATCTTGTCATATTCATCCGAGAGAGAGTCGTACTTGGCCTTGCTCTTGCGCATGGTCTGCTCTAGCTCAGCCACCTTGTGCTCCGCGCTGAGCCCAGTGGTCTTCCATGTCTTGCGACTCTGTTCGGAGCTGTTGACGAGCTCGACGAGCTCATCGTGCATCTTCAGCAAGGACGAAGCAAATTGGGAACCATTCTCGGACATGCGCTCGTGGATCTGGACTATGTCGTCGTATGCGGAAGAGAAGCTGCCCTGGCGATGGTCTGGCTGGCGAAGGCTATGTTGAGTGGCTCGGCTCACTTTCTTGAGGCCCTGCGCATTGCTCTCCTCAAGAGATGCTCGCTTCTTGAGGAAGGAAGCGAATTCCTATTGCCTCCGGGTTAGCTTGTGGTACCAAAATAGGCGATTGGCAAACGAAGCGACTTGCCTTGGAAGTAGCTATGCTAGCCTTCAGGCGATTGAGTAAGGTTGTAATGCCGATCTAGAGACAAGTTAGGAGCAGCTCTCAGTAGACAGGAATGAGGCGGTATAGCTCGTGTTACCTCGGAGGAGAGAACGTCGTTGACTTGCTTCAGGACCTCTGGACTGGGGCCTTGGGAGGGATTTGTCGCGACCTCGGGCGCAATGGCTGGGCTGTTGGTCGCTGCTCGGTCGAGAGGGAAACTGTTCTGATGGAACCCATCTCGGTCATGCCCATCGACCGGCGAGGTGAGGACGTCGGCCATTTTGACGGGGTGGAAGCGCTAAGCAAGGCTGGTGGTGTGGTGGTGTAGGTCGGACAGGGTATTATGGTTGTTATTTCCGATAGAGCTTTCAGTTGTCGTCGTCACACGGTCTCGGCATTCCTCGAAGGCGAGCAGGAGCGTCAATTGCACATGTGCGGTGGTCGAGAGAAGTTTGGCGGGTGCGTCGCTGTACTTGGGCCGCAAGGAATGGGCAGATGGAAAGTCAGGTAACCCCCCTTCGGAGATTGCGCTAGTGATTGATCTGCTCACGATCGTCGTCGAGGTGCGCAGGGGCGTTTGCCAGGAAGCCGCGGCAGCTTGCTGGACTCGGACGGCGTGGAATGCGGGTGTTTGCGACCAAGGAGCACAGCTGCAGAAACGAGTCGGCAGGCGTGATTGTTGTGGGAAGATGTTGGGTGTCTGCTTTGCAGCACCTTGGTGGAAGTGCCAACCTCAAGCCACCGACCTCGTCATGCAGCAAGGATCAGGGTCTATTTGCGGAGCTGGAGGCATGGATGGAAGAAGAGCTGGCGCGCACTGTGGCAACATGGCCAGTGGCTGTGCATTACGTAGCACCACCCAAGTGGGCTTTCCACGACGACGACACCCTCATCCCGGCGATGCTATCTTTCAAACGAAATAACCCTGGTACGTTCACAGCATGGCCAGATAAGATTCTTGTGAATTTATTCTTTCGAGGTGCATACTCCACGCTTGCCACCTCTCAACTACCTATACCAAGTGGTGTTGCCTCCACGCCCAGTGCAATAAAACTGGCGTCAGTTCTTGTGTATCTGCTGGGTTCTCGCTAATTACCCTGACATTAAAAATAAAATCAAGTAAAATCAAACCGCAACTTCAATAAACCGCATCCGCGTCTACCCAACACTCTCATCTCGATGCTGACCAGAAGTGGACAAAGGACAAGGAAAGTCCTAAGAAACAGAAATATCAATGAGAAAGACTCCATCGCTTTCGAGCCCAGTATCATATCTAAAATGATGAATTCGTAGCCAGTTCAAAGGGGATAATGATATATGCCACCTCTCCAGAACTCCGGAATGTGTCCCCTCAGGGTATCTCGAATCTGTACAAGCCCGTAGAAAATAGGAATAATAAGGGGCAATAGGAAACAGTAAATTCGTATGATGTACATGCGTTAGACAAAGGGAAGACTTCTTGCATCTTCGAAGAAAATTGATAAGGGTATGAGATAATGAGACTGGAATTCAAAAGAATCAGTGACAGGGGACTGTATATTACTTAAATCCAAAGGTGATATCGATGCAAGAAATGGCAAGAACGAGCAAGATAAAGAAACCATCATCGAATTACCCAAAATCGTAATGCCGGATACTGAGCCAGGGGTATCGTGGTCGCAAATTGCTCGCTATGAAGCATTCTCGGAATCAACAGCCGTCTCGTCTTTAACTTCTTCCTCGGCGTCTGGCCATGTTGGGACGGGAATCTGTGCGTATCTCAAACCGTCCGTCTTCTCGATCTCTTTGCAGAGAACTTCCACCGAAAGCTCCCAGCGTTTCCGCAATCTCTCCTGCCGCGACTTGGATAGATTGTCGACTTCTTCTAGCTCTAGAGCATGTTGAGAAATTAGGCTTTCTAGTTCCTCTTGTCGTTTCGCCGTGTGGTTTTCCAACTCCACCTCCTGCCTATCAAGCAACTCTTCCATCCGCTTTGCTTGGCGGTCTCTCATGACGTTGATCTTCGATTGATGCAAACGTTCCATGTTATCTCGGAGATTGTATTGCTGACCCAGTTCTCTCAAATCGCGCTCTGTGACTGTTCTCTGTGGCATATCAGTGCTGGGGCTGCGCCCCAGCCCTTCGCAGTAGGCCTCCATATGCTTTAGTCGAATCTTCACGCTCCGTTCGCTTTGCTCTAGTGTATTTCGCAACTCCATCTCCGCTGCCACTTGTCGATCCTCCAAATGGCCGGCCGTTTTCGTGTGCCGCTCCTTCATCTTTTCCCCTAGTTCGGCATACTTCTCCTCCAGCGCTTTTTTCTGTGAAGCCTGGCGTTCCTTCAAGGCAATCCTCCCCTTTGCAGCAAACTCCTGGAACCGCTGTATTTCGTCCTCTTGAGATTTGATGAGCTGCTGAAAGGCCTTGTGATTATTCGAACGCTCTTCAGCCTCCTTTTGTTTAATAGCCTCCTCGGCCGCAGCGGCAACTTGCGCGGCCTTCTCCACCTCGAGTTTGGCAAGGCGCTCCTGTTCCTCATTGCGTCGCCTCTCGAGTTCTTCCTCCCCATTGCAAACGTTCGGGCAACCCACCGAGGGATTCCAGACACCCCCACAGATGTAGCAGAACTGCGCCTTGCACCTGCAGGTCATATGGGTGCATCCCTGGGCCAGTTCGACAAGATTCCGGCACTTGTAACACCTCCGCCACCCCGACTTCTCGCCCATTTTCAAAACCGCCTCCAGCTCCCAGTCCTCTGGGCAGTCCTTCCCGACCGGGTGGGCGTTGCGCTTGCAGGTTACACAAGCCCTCGTGTCACATTTCCGGCATGTGACATTAAATGGATGTTTGGGATCGATCTTGTGTCGAGGTGGTATAAACTCACCGCAATCCGCGTTTGGACAGAATATCCTTGCCTCCCAAGGCGTGCTGAACTGAACGACAGCCTTCAAGAAGACCTGCTGAGTTTCCCGCGGCAGGACGGCCTTCACGATATTGGTAGGTATGGGCTGCGTGCAGCACCTTGGGGGCATCTTGGATTCCTCGGTAGTGGATTGGCTGATCATGACTCGTAGGCAGCTGGCGCAATACGTGTGGCCGCACGGAAGACTATGCAAAGTGTTTGACTTCTGGAAATCGTCCCGACAGCAGACACAGGATCTGGAGATTGAGGGTGTTAGTGACAAGGCCATGTAAGAGAGGGCTTCATAAGATCAAGGCTACATACAGGTTAGGTGGGAAGGGCTGTATTGACTTTCTCCGCCATCGAATCTTGCTCTTGAGCCCCGATTTTACGCTGAACAAACTCTTCCTGGTGCTTACACTGAAGAGGCTCTTGGCAGTGCTGTCGGTAGGCGACTCAACTTTGCAGAATTTGGGCTGGTCGAGGTTCTTGTCCACCTGCGTCAGGTACTTGTCATAGGGCTGGAAGCTGAGGGTCTTGGGCTGTCCCTTCTCTTTCCCACCGAGCGAGGTCGACTCTGAACTGGGAGGGGCGAATATGGACGAGTATATGGTGAGATCAGTGCTCGCAGAATCGTGAGAGCCCGTCGAGAAGGTCCGGGCGTGGTAAGTCGCGGCCGTCGAGGCAGACTGGGCGCTGATTGTATAGCGCTTGTCGTCGGCGTCGTCAATGGCTTGGGAAATCGAGATGCCAAGCTGCTGAGCCCGGGAGACCAGTTCGTCGTCGATGTGGACCTCGAGTTTTCCCAAGGGCAACCTCAAGACCTCATTGAAGTAGGCGGCGTCGCTTAACCCGTCGATTAACGTCGGCTCGAGCTCCTCAGTCTGAAGCTTGGGCGGAGCGATGGACACCATGCTGGGCGTGCCGCAAGGGTGGTCAGTCGGGAGGTTAAGAGTCCCAGAAACGAGAAGAATGCAGCGTATCGGGGATTAGGCCGGAAGCATGGTCAAGTTATTCCAAGAGGTCGAATTGTACAAAAACAACTGGAAGGGCGCGAGACAACAGGCGGGATCTGAGACACGAAATCCCAGTTGTCTACCGTTGGGAGAGGTGCAAATGCGCAATCGTCCTTATCCTCCCCCTCGCCGATCCCACCACTTCGCTCTTTCCCAGATCAGATGCTGTCCGCACGCTCGCGACAAGGATTGTGGCCGAGTCCGGTCGAGTCAAAACAACAAGTACGTAGGTGATGAGGATTGCGGGAGCCGGGCCGGCAGCGGCTGGGTTAGTCAATACAAAGGACGGGAGCCGTTGTAAACGCCCTGGCTTGAGGAGAATCAAGCTCTAGCAGACGAGGGCGGGATGGCGTTTGGCTAAGATGGGCGGGCGATAGTAGGCTACTAGTACGCAGATCTAAATGGGCCGCTTCCCCTGCCTGGTGTCCGGTTGTGGGCAATGACAGCGTTTAGTAGTGCCCATGATCAAGTGGGTGAAACTGCCGGCTGGGAATAACGTAGCCAAAGCAGCTTCATACGTAGCAGGTCATATTAGTAGTCTAACTTGCTGGCCCAAGAGCCCCAGCGGGATCCGCCACAGAAATTGTTGTGCTCCGTTTCTGAGCAGGGGGGAATTTGGGTCAGAGATCAGGCGATGCGGTGGCACCCTGGCGAGAGCGGGCGCCTCCTCATCAGGCGACTCGACGGGTGCCAGCTACGTAGTGGGTGTGCCCTCATTCCCCATCCCAGGCGAGATGGGGATCGGAAAAAGAAAGGAAAGGCGTCGGTCGGTCAGTGGCGGCTCAGGGTGCTGCCCGCCGGTTCCTCACCTTACCCTTTGGGCGGGCGAGCATCTGCCACCGCCAGCCGTCGACCAGGACATATGCATGCACCGTCCCTTGTTACTCTCTGCCCGTCTGCCAACTGCTGCATCGGTACATGCTCTGCACCTGCAGGCTCAGGGATCAGACACAGGAACGCAGTTTTGAGCCAAGCTGCCGCTGGCAGATTGAGGTGCTAGCCTTAGGGGGGCTTTAGGGCCCTCTTTAGGTGCCACATCGGCGCCAACCACTCATTAGGGGCTTGCTAAAATAACCTAAGTGATCCGATCCATCCACATTCATCTGATCCCTTTGCCCATCTAAGCGTTGACGCATCTCCTTGTGCAACTGACAGGGCACACACGGTTATCGCAGCTACATCATACTCTAGCGCCGTGCCATCTCACCGTGTTGTGTTGTTGGGTCGTGTCGGCGGGCGAACTCCCGTGCCGCAAATCCCGATAGCGGCAGGAATCAAGATAGAGCCAGCTTCTGCCCCGTATGCAATAGATAATCAGACATAACCTTTGTTGCTATCGCTCCCCACTGCTCAACCAGTCGCAAAGCCGATGTCATCCTATATAGCCTTGCCGGGGGGACCGGCAAACCATCTCTGCTCGTTCGTCACTTGAGTCAGTAATAAAGAGCTGTTATATCTCCTATCCGGCGTTCCGATGCCGATCAGGGCCGTGCGAGCTCCGTGAACCTGCTGGCCTTCATTCTTCACACAGTAAGGGTCACATGTAATAACAAACCATACCCCTCTCACTCCTTTCTTCAATTCCAAGGCAAGACAAACATCGCGGAGTCGAGGAACAGGGATGATGAGGGCGGTCTGATGTGCCACCGTCTCCTGGCTGTCCAGCTGAACTATCAGCCTTCCTTTCCAAGCACAAGGTGTCTGTATTGCACCGCCGCTCCGTTCCCAGTTCGCAAGCAGTGGTCTATCCCTTTCCTTGGTGGTGGTGGTGGCAAGGACAGCCTTACTCCTAGTCCTAGTGTCCTGAAACTTGCATCGAATTACGCGTGCAGATGCGGTCTGCGCATGTACTATGAGCCAAGCTGCACTGGAATTCTCCTTCTCGGCGGCCGCCTTTCTTTGCCCTTGGCAGATCTTCGAGTCCCTCAATATCGGCATGCTTTCTTTTGCGACGTCGATCGGTGTTTTTCCATCTCGTCACTTTTCTTTCTTTTTTTCTTCTTTCTTTCCTAGTTCTCAATTTTTGGGACCAATCGCTTTCTTTTCTTTTGCCCTGTTCAAGACCGCGGATCTGGCTGATTTCGGGCTCCGACTCTGGAACATGCTCCACTCAGCCAGGAGTGATCATGCACGGCTCTGGAGAGTTCCGAGACTTTCCCAATGTAAGTTTGATACAAACATGTAGCTTCAAGAGCCTGCTTTCAATCCGGCCAGCATCTACAAACAGGGTGGCCCACAATCGTTTTCATTGCAAGATCGGTAATACACAAGAGCATGAATTATCATTTACCAACCAGCCGGTTCATTGGTGGTCTCAATCCTGCCTGTATGTATGTATGTAGTACAATGAATAAAAAGGCAAATTATGCGATTTAATGGATGAGTACTCTCTGAATGACACTTCTGTGTAGCGCGCATTTAACATGGCTCGTTTGTTGGCCAACAGCTCTGCACAATTTCGACAAAGAAACCTATTTCGCGAACAAAGGGATCGCCACGTCCCACATTCATTCGGCGGCAATAGGGCGGGAAGAGGCGAAAGAACAAAGTTCATCATAGAACCATAACTTGTTTAAGGTTGATTTCGTGTGCTAGGGACAGTATACTATCGCCATGTGTTCTGCAATATGCTATTTGGTCTCCTCGTCCTTCCTCGCCCGCAATCTCAATCCATCTGTACCTCGTATGATCGGACATTGAATGCGCGCACAGCCTACTTCTCAATCACTGACTGCCATTATTTGAGAAACCGCCCTCCATCCTCCTGGAATAATCACCGAGTTTATTATCCGAGGCGCTCTCTGCTTGGCCTGCCTGAGCCTAGCCTGGAGGTTAGATCTCCACAGCCAATCGATTAGCCTTTTGTGGCCTCCACTACAGCCTCCAGTCCACTTATCACTCGTGCCGCCTCCACCAAGGGACTTCCATTCAACGACATCTCCGTCGTGCAACCCAGCGTTGTAGCACTGACTCGTCCACCTTGTTCTCTGTTACAGATTTGGCCTCAGAGAATGTTTGGATCTCGGCCGCTCTTGTGTCAACCTCGCTTTTAGAAGACTTATCCTCCCGACCAATATCTACTCTGTCTCGACAGGGCAGTGCTTTCCTCTTCTCCTTTGGGTGGCTTACCGTGGCGCGTGCCTACGAGTAAGTCAACTTCGGGAGTCTTACTCCTAAATCCGACACAAACAACGGCAACTTCCTCTCGAGTGTTCCTGTCGATACCATTTGTTTTCGCCCTTCAACATGGCCGAGCTCGTTGACCCGACCCAGAAGGGTAATTATCCTGTTATCCTTGGGGACAGCCTCCTCGGCAAGAACTCCAACGAAATATTCACCGGTGTCAGATGTAAGATGCTCTCCAAACATCCTCATCTGTGATCTACCACGCGCTGACTGCCTGCCTTGCAAGATAACCATAAACCGCCCATTGCGACAGCCGAGAAGAATCCGGCCCGACTAAAGCCCTCGATTTCCGGTGACAAGAGCTCCTACGATCTGAACTTCGTCGATAAGGTTGGCCATACCGAATACGCATATGCCGGCGCGCGAAACACCGACGATGGACAGTACGTTCTCTATTTCGACCCAGCGCGCGAGGCGTTCATCCTGGACCGCATCGACTCGACTCTCAATATGAACATCACCCGGACGCCAAACAACAGCGACCCCGCCAGCCTACGGCGGCAGTATCCTCAGCTAGACAGAGACGGCAAGACGGCCCATTCCTCTGGCGCCTCCGAATCCAGCAAGCCGCAGCAGACCAAAGCACCCAAAGCCAAGAAAAAAGACCCGCCTGCTCGCAAGTCCGAGCCCAAGGCGAAACCAAAGGCGGCGCCGGCGCCGGCCCCCAAGCCAAAAAGCCAGGGACTCGTCCTCCCCCAGGCCCAGCAAGCACCGCCCAAGCCCAAGTCGCGGTCGCGGACGCTCGAGGAGGAGGAGGAAGAGGACGATGATGACGACGATGGAGGCTTGCTGGTCGAGTATCCCGGAGGCGAACCCAGGTCTCAGAAGAGGGACTTCTCGCCTGCCTTCCCAGCCGTACGGCGGTTTGATGATTTCATGGACCAGCGGGAGTCAGAGGCCGACGATGCGGATGGGGAAAGTGAGGACGAGGGCGATGTGGACTTCAAGCTGCCGAGCCCTGTCAATCACCACCAAAACACGTACGGTGGCCAAATGGACGAAGAGGAAGAGTCGGAGCCGGAAATGGAGGAAGTGGAGCCACAGGCGCCCGAGTACGAGCAGGAAGACGGCCTTGATATTGAAGACGACTTGGAGAAGGACCTGGAAATGGCCTTTGAAGAGGTCAATGTTGAGGACAAGGGCGAAGAGAGCGAGATCAGCGAGGAAGATTAAAAGGCACATGAGATCTGACATTTGGGAGCAGTTACTTGAGAGAATTGGGTATTATCTTTTCTGGGTTACATTTATGGGAAAGCAGGTTTGAGCACGTTTATCTTTATCAAGGCGCCTCGGAGTTGCAGTTGCCCTATCACTAGCAACTTGATATCATTCAAATACAATACAATACGTCGAACTTATATAACGTCCCAGTTTCTCTCACCTACATTAGCTCTGCACCCTCGCCCTCATTGTCATACTTCCATTTCTCTCCTGGGAGGTTGTCAGTGATACCCGGGATCTCCTCGGCACAGTAAAAGTGCACATTCGACTCCGCCAGCAACGACCCGTACTTGAGCAAGTCCTCCTTGTCGACCGTGCCGATAGCGAGAGCCAGGTAGTTATCCTCCTCGGGGTGCCAGTACACCCAGCTGCCGCACTCGCCGCAGAAGCCCCGCGCGATCCCGGGCGTGGCGTAGTACTTCTTCAGCGTCTTCTGCGCCGTGAAGGTGATGTTCTCCGGCTCTATCCTGCGGAGGTGGGCAATGACGGCCCCGGCGTTCTTGCGGCACTGCACACATTGGCATGTAGAGCACTGTTGTGTGTGGTTGGCAATTGGGCTCCCTTCGTTAGCGGCTTGCTCCAGGACCCCATTATGAAATGATTGAGGAGGGGGGGAATCATACGCCCTTGGAGAAGTCAAAATCTGGTGCGAAGTTGACTTGGTATCGGATGCCTTCGCACAGGCAGCCGCCCTGGATTGTTTGCGGTGCTGTCTTTGTCGACGACATTGTGGCCCAAATTGTTCAGGCAGCGTTGCAAGGTTGGTGAGAAAATATGATGGTCTTGTTTTGAACGGAGAAAGGAAAAGTAGACGCGTACACATAGATGAATCTTTAGATCAAGATCGAGAGACTCTGGGGCTGCATAGATATGTCTTCCGAAGGAGGGGTCATGTCAACGACGCCTTTCCTGGGAACTTGGACTCCAGATAAGATCTACGTCAATGATTGTTCACTCCAGACAGTGATCGCCGTCAGTGAACTCGCCAAGACCACTTCATTCATTTTATGTAGGTACAAAATACGGCTGGCCATCGTGCATGCATTGGAAGAAGTTGCCTCGTTTGGCTCCAAAGGGCGGACAAACCCCACCCTCCACTTGTGATTGATTGCACGAGATGTGGTCGCTGTTATGGTATTAATCTTTAAATTATACTGTATTTTTCTCACATTGCCATCAAGATGGGATAGGCATTTCTATTTAAATAATCTCCCACCGAGCAATTCGGCCGACACTTTCCCCTGCGTTCCTCACAATGCAGAGAGCACCCTGGGTGCGGTCCTCCCGCATATCTTCCAGGACCTTTGACACGGCAATACCACCCACAGCTATTCCCCGGCCTTCACTCAACGAGAATGATCCGCTTGTCACAAAACCAATCAAGTCTTGCGCATCTGGAACTAACGGGTGGCCGTTGATATCAGCGACATTAGCCTTGGCAGATGGCCAAGGTATTGGAGGTGCAGTGAGCTCCTGGGCTAGTAATCGCTTGCGCGTGTGGAGATCTGTCGATTTTGCTATTTTGGCGGATCCATTCTTACCAGGACGTAACCTGGCGGTATCTGTGGATTGTGGTATCAATCGCAGCCACTGATCTCGAAGGTCTGCAGGTAAAGCGGAAGAAGAAGAAGGAAGTGGGGATGGGTCGGTGGCTGGGACCTCGGCGTTGGGAGAAGGAGGGGTGAGTATGGGCTTTCGAGGAAGTCGGTAGATTCTTGCACAAGATCTAGCAACACCCCTTGTCAGAAAGCATAGCCGTACAGTCAAGACGCTACTCGCAGGGACTGAGTCCAGTTGTTGAGATTTGACAAGTTTGGAGAACGTTGACTTGTCAATAGGGGTGAGCTCAGACAGGGGATTTGATTCTAGTTCCCCTGTGGCTTTGACGGCATTTTCGACATCGATGTCCATAGCATCTGATGTTTCTGAGTCTGGATCTCCGAGACGTCGGCGCAAGCTAAAGAGGTATTCAAAATCGCAGGCCATGCCATTCCCAACTTCGCCCTTTCTCCCCGCACCAAGCTCTAGCGAGTCCCACTCGGTTCTTTTACTCTTTGGTCGTTTCTCCCACGCTTTCTTTCTCAGTTGCCGCTGCTCTAACTCCCATGTCACGCCAGCGTTTGTGGTTAGAAAGTCGGAAGGGAAGAAAGCTAGTCCGCGCTCAAACGCGACTTGTTTAGCCTCGTTTAGGCCAGCGAAACGAGGGTTCCCTCCAGAAGAGAGAGGGTAGTGAACTAGCGAGTACCAGAATGGTAGGATGCAACCCCAAGGTGCAAGAAGAGTCCAGGTGCCTTGGGCCTGCCTGCTTGGTCCTGAGCGACCAGAAACGAGCAGGATAGGAATCGAAGGGTCAGACTCCACAGGCTTCAGAACTGCCCCAGGGGCAGTAGAACTTCTCCGTTTCTGGAGAAGCTTTTGCGGAGGTAAGCATGATGCTTTGTGGCGTAGATCTCGGTCAAAGATGTCGTAGGGTTGAACGTTATCTTCGGCAGGCCAAGAGGTGAGGAGCTCCAACATTTTCATCTCCTCTTCCTCCCTCTCTTCTTCGCTGTTTGGCGATTTCGCTTTCTTGGGAGGGTATCTCAGGCGAGGATCCTGCACATTGAACCCCAAGATGGCTTGCGCTGGTAAAGAAGCTGGGTTAGTCACACCATGCAATCCTTGAAAGAGTTCTGCATGTTTTATTTTCGGTTCTCCCCTTTTATGTCTTGGGGTCAAGATAGACATAAGAGTTTCCGTCGAGGCAGGCCCAGTGATCTCAACACTGCCAATCTCAAATCGCAAATCGTGAACTGAAAGCTGAGGCGTTTCCATTTTGGCAAGGCGCAGCAATTCCGTGAAGGTTTCCAAAAAGGCTGAAGGGTGTGTTCTCAGAAGCAGTTCTCTTTTATCCTCTTTCGAATCTTCATCGGATGCATGCGACTTTCCAGTGGGGTTCCAAATAACCGTTGCTGGACAGATGCATCGTCTGCCACTTTTCGTCTCCCTGCTTAGCTGGCCAGACCATGACCGAGTGCCTATCCTCCATTTCTGTCCTCTGTCACTCCAGCAGCTTTCATGGGACACTCCCATCCGCTCCATTACTCTTTGAAGGCCCTTCGTGTTACCAGAAAGACATATCGTGCTGATATATGACATATCCCAGAACACAGCCCCCCTATCGCCCTGCATCCGATGTACAGGCCTGTAGATCTTCTCGTTTGGTGTCAATGGCAGCGCGAATCGCCATAAGGGATTCTTAGGTTCCGTCATCCTAGCACGCTTGGCATGCCAAGCATATGTAGGGAGCCACGTCTTATTCAATTGCCGTTTTCTGAATTTCGAAGGTGGTTTGGGGGGTTCATTGAGGAGGTTCGTTCGAAGCTTAGGTCTCCGCCGAGTTCCCTCGGCCTTATCCGCTCCTGTAGATATCTCTCCAGAGTTGCTTGCATGCTGCTCCCCCAACTTTTTTCTTTTCTGCCTGGCAGCCAGGACGCCAAGCTTCTTCGCTGTTTCTGCTCGGAGGCGTGCCCTCGTCGTTCTCGGAGCTCTTCTGCGGGATTCGACTGTCGGGGTATTATCTTCAGCCATCTCTTTCATCGCCCTTGCCCTCAATCGCTTCGGGACACGCTTAGGGTTGTGGCTGGCGGTTCGACGCCGCAGGCCGCGAGGTAGCTTCTGAAACGCGCGACTGGTGCCAGTTGCCTTGGACATGGCCATGCTTTGCTCAAGCGCACGAATCTCAAATTCGTGAGCAGCCACGAAGGCCTGCAAATCAAGCTCGCCATCTTTCAACCCAGCTCCGGCTGGCTGTGCGGGAATGGACCGTGCCACATGGCGCTCTTGACGCTTCTGCTGGAATCGGTCGCTGCGCGCAGAGAGTGCCTCAGAGCCTGCTTTGCGTTTCTTGGGATCACGGGCAGAACCCGGGTTGCCATTCTGTGGAGCCATCAGGCTCGCTTGAATGTTGGTAGCAAACCTGCTAATTGACGGCGTTCGTGACAGAACTCCCTGCACAACATATGCGACTCGGTTGTTGATGGCCCAGCCATGCAAGCATTATTTTGGTAATCCACATTATCGATAAGCTTGCAGCCCACTTACCGAATCAGTGGTACCACCTTCCATTCGGCCTGTTGAATTACCTACCCTGAAGCATCAAGCATGTGCCAATTGGATGCAGATGAGAGCCTCCATCTTAAGAATCATCGTGCTCATAAATGACGGTGCTAATTATCAACTTTTCGGGTAGGTAACGAACGTGTTGTGTTTTTCTCAGAAGAGACCGAGACCGAGACCGAGACCGACAAAGGTTTGATCTAGTATTGCTGTCTGGCAAGGTTGGGCTGCCGATCTCGATTGAGGAGACGGCAACGGCTTTTAGTAAACTCCCCGTCAACAGAGGCTGTGCTCTCTCCTCGCTCACCAACAACGTTACATGCAATATTTGCATCATCGATCATCGATCATATCGATAAACGGGGCCTCACCTGAGAACGAGAGCTATTGGTTGGTAGCTAATCGCCTGGTCGCCCACCCATCGGCTTTGCGCTGCCCGATTTCAGCCGCCTTATCCGGCAACGTGAGGTGGTGCCTCGATCCTGATTAGCCCTATTCAGCCATGGACTCTCTAAGTAAGTGCTTTGATGATTACCTGATGAGTTGTCTCTCTTGTTTTTTACTGCTGGCCTGTCCTCAAGGTTGCTGGCCATCCTTTGTTTCCCTGGTTGTTGATTTAGAGCTTACCTCATGGCAACAACACCCCACCACCCTTTCGTGCACTTCGTGCCATCCTCCCATCCCTCGAGAATTGCTTTCTGAATACTGGCCTTGATCTTCTATTCTGCAAACCCCACCTCCCGTAATGTCCTCTTCTCTGGCTAACCTACGTGACCTGCGTTCAGTGGGAAAGGCTCGCAAGGTAATGAGTTCCTCTTCTCTTGGTCCCTTTCCTTTTTTCTGTGTTCTCGAGAACCCAGTACTGTCCTTGGACCGATAACTGATTACTTCCTATAGCCCAAGTTTGAGCTACATCTCAAGGTATTGCCACATACCAACCTGTTTAGAGCGATCAGCGTTGCTTATCCCCACTATACAGATTTATGATCTGAACAATGTCCCCTTAGTTTCGGGGAACTCATATATAAAATGGCATCTCACCCATTCTATCCACGCCGAACACCGTGGCCGCACAGACAAGTGCCCCATAACGAATCACCGCGTGGACTATGCCCTCAACAAGGTCGTCTCACACATCCGTATTTCCGTGGACAAAACCAACACGCTCACGGAATGTCCCATTGAGTTTGAGGTCGTGCAGGAGTTCGCCATCACAGAAAAGATCACACTGGGAACGGTGAAGCTGAATCTAAGCGAATATGTCGAGGAGAGCGAGGTACTGGCCAAGGACTCCGTCACATCCCCTGGCAGAAGGCGGGCGAGCAGCGTAGGTGTGAGCCCCGGCACTGTCACTCCCGGTACAAAGGGTGTCAAGGGTGCTGAAAAGGACAAAGAAGTTCATGATGGTGTTATCCGCCGGTACCTGATGCAGGAGAGTAAGATCAACAGTACTCTCAAGATCGGCATCCTCATGGTCCAGGTGGATGGGGAGCGTGGTTTCCTTGCGCCCCCGTTAAAGCATGCCCCTGCTTTCGGAGGAATCGCTGGAATTGTAGCGGGCGAGCAGGTTGAAGATGATGCAAGTCGTAAGTGGACCATGGCCAACCTCTCCACGAACGGTTAACTCACAGTCTTCCCTAGCCATTCTTAGCATATCCAAGCCTAGAGACGCCACGGATCTTCATGATCTCTACCGTCGGACTCTTGCGGCATCATGGCATCGTCTACCTTCAGAACTTGCTGCAGACGAGTGCATCGAGGATATCTTTTCTGGCGGGAACGGCTGGAAAACGAAGAATGATGGCGGTTCGACAAGCGACACAGAGGAGGATGAGTATGCAGGCGGGACTCTTCGGCCCGCCGATATCCGTCGACTGGATCAAACTCACCTGCACCACCCTCGCGATGGAGGGCACATCCTCCACCGTCTACATCGACGTACTCATAGCGGATCCAGTGACCAAAGCTCCAGCACTATAACAGGTCGCAATCCACGTAGGCAGTTCCCACTGGGCCGTGACGACGGAAGGGAAGTTGCTTTAGACCTAAGTCGCAGCGGAAGTTTAGCAAGCCTGGCTCCTACATTGGACAGTGAACGAAGCCGCATAGAGATAACCAAACCCACGAGGGAGATTAGCGAGGATGAGGTGAGAGACGACATGATTGCTTGGAGACTTCCTGGAGGAGGCTTGGCATTTTAATTGGTCGGGTTGCGGTTCGCAAAGGCAGGGAATGATCTAGGTATATTTAATGTTGAGATGAAGGAACCAAATACCATATTAATAGAATATCTCACTCTGGTCGTATGTCTATGTCCGCTTTGGTGAAACGCAAACACTCACCCGATCATTCGAGATCAACATCATGCACATAAGAGTCCGAGATCCGTCATGTAACAAGAGACAAAACACATATATATCACGTCGGCTCTTGAAATCCCGAACCAACCGCGCAACCAAAATGGCCTGTTGCTCTATCTCTAAAACAAAGAAACCCTTCTATCCCATCAACGGCCCGCTTCGGTAAACCCAAAAAAAGCAGCCCGTCTGCCTCTTTCCCCTCATTTTAGATACTTGATAATTTTTTTTTCTTCTTCTCGTTTTTAAATACGTTAGGATCTAGCTTCAGCGATATTTAAGGGGCTTTCAGGTTTCCCCTGACGCCACCTTTGCCGCCGACTTCCCGTGCGGTAACAATGACGCTCAGGTCCGCTGCAACATTGATGGTGACCTCGACCTTGCTTCCTGCCTTGACACCCCTGATGGCGGCCTCGGCGAGGGCGCTGCCAATCTTCCAGATCTTCTCCCGGGTCTCTTCCTCCTCTTCATCGGAGTCGAAATCGGAGTCGTCCTCGTCCTCGTCCTTCTCCTCCTTCTCCTTGGGCTCGGGCTTGGTGACCTTGATGTGGGTACCAGCCTCGACAACCTTGATCAGGACATCGCCACCCTCCTTAGGGGCGGGGATGTGCACTGTGCGGCGGGCGGGGACAGCGGTCTCAGCAGCCATGACAGGCGTGAAAGCCTCACCATCAGGGCCGACGGTTGTGACACCAATGGCGTTGGAGATGTGCTTGACGGTGGTAACGGCGGGGTGGGTGGACTGCTCAATGTCCTCGGCCTCGTACTCCTGGATCAAAGAGGCCTGCAGAGCGGCACCACGAGCCTGGAGCTCGGAGGGGTTGATAGCCACGGTGCTGGTGGCGGGGGCCAGGATGGCCGTGGTCTCGGGGAAGATACCGCGGAAGTTGTTGGCGATACGAGGGGTGTGAGAAGTTCCACCGCACATGATAACCTCGTCGACGTCAAGGACGTCAAGGCCGGCCTTCTTGACAACGCCCTCGACGAGGCGGTTGAAACCCTCGAAGACCTTGCGTCCAACCATTTCGTATCGTATCCTGTTAATGGTAACGGAGAAGTCGTATCCGTCTGCCAAGCTCTCCACGCTGAACTGCGCATTAGTTCCCAGGCTCAGGGCCTTCTTGGTAGCCTCGGACTCGGCACGGAGCTTGGCCAGACTCCTGGGGTTGGAGCGAGGGTCAGTCTCGTGCTTCTTGATGAACTCCTTGGCAAAGTACTCGATGAGGGCGTTGTCAAGGTGGACACCGGCAAATTCGTAGTCGTGAGCGGTTGCCAGAACAGTGTACATGCCACCTCGGGAGGCCACAACAGCAACGTCGGAGCGGGTACCACCAAGGTCGGCGACAACGACGATCTTGTCCTTGACCTCGGCCTCGGGGCGGGCATCGTAGGCAAGAACCGCAGCGACAGGGTCAGAGATCAGCTGGAGGACCTCAACTTCGGCCTCCTTTGCGGCGCTGATGAGAGCCTCGCGCTGCTTCTCACTGAAGTTTGTGGGTACAGAGATGACGGCAGATGTGACCTTCTTGCCCAGGTAGTCTGTAGCGGCTCCGAACAGACGGCGCAGGTAGCGAACAGAGATTTCGGGGACGGAAACAGTCGAAGCATCCTCCTCACTACCCTTGTCCTTGATGGTGAAAGATACGGTGCCCTCAGCTTCCTGGGGGTGGGCGGCGGCATGGCAGTGTGTGGGGTCGATGGACTTGAATCTGCAAGATTTGTTGATATTAATGCCCCATCCTTCTAGATGTATTGATAGAATCCAATGGTTGGCTTACTCTTGCCCGAGGAAGTCGCGGAAGTAGGCTACAGTGTTGTTGGGATTGCGAATCAGGAAGGCTTTGGCTTGGGCACCATAGTACTCGTCACCGTCAGCGTATGACAGGACTGTGGGAATTTGACGATCTGGAATCTCCGTTGGTTAGAAAAAAGCAACTCCTCATGCAACCTGCTAAAAGATGGCTCAAATTCACTCACCTCCATCCTCGTTGGCAATAACTTCGGCCTTGTCGTCGACAGTGTAGGCGATGGAACTGTTGCTGTTGCCGAAGGTAACACCAATAACCACCCTGTTGCTAGGCTCGGGGCCTGCCTGTTTGTCGCCGTTCTCAGCCATTGGACTAGTGTGTTTATACTCTGCTCCAAACGAGGAAGGGGTGAGGATTATAGAGGAGGCGACGGGTTGAGGGTGGGTGAGATGGATGTGGGAGGGCGCCTGCTAGACCCTGTATAACTTGTCGATATTCACCGATTTGGTGGGGTTCACAGTCCAAAAATTTCAAACGCTCCCAGGCGCAGAGAACGGTTGATAAGATAATGGCATGCCCCACCAGAAAAAAAAAGTGGAAAGTCCATAGAACGAATCAATGCCGTATTGTTACATGCTCTTCTGCTATTCAACTCCAAGGCGGAAACCCATCACTGGGACCAACCCACGAACAAAAAATCCACCCGACTCACCGATCGCGCCGGCGCAATGTCTTCGGGGGGTCCGATATATGTCCTACCGGGCGATGAAATAGACGCTTCGCTCATTCCATCACATCCTAAGAAGCCGCTGAGGCTGGGTCCTGGCCTTCGCCATGCACCGCCAAACGATATCATTCCGACCGTCGCGGGCCAATTCGTCGTCGAGCGACAAAAGAACGCCATCCGAGTTGAAACAACAAGTGGTCGGGTAAGCGAATCCTAGCCAGACACCCTAGCTCTAGCTGTGACTGCCGTACTTGCACATGATAAAGCTAACGAGTATCTGCATAGTATATTCCTCGAGTAGGCGAGCTCGTCATAGGCACAGTCCACCACTCAGGTGCCGAGAGTTATTTCGTCACTCTCTCCGACTTCACTTCCTCATCGCTTCTACCCCACCTCTCCTTTGAAGCAGCTACAAGAAAGACGCGCCCCCAGCTCGCCAACGGCGCTCTCGTTTACGCACGGGTCTCTCTCGCCCACAAGCACATGGACCCCGAATTGGAGTGTGTTTCACCATCCACTGGAAAATCTGAGGGACTAGGGCCCTTAACAGATGGAATGCTGTTCCCCATATCCCTGGGCATGTCGAGACGGCTCATGCTCTCAAAGAGTGCACAAGACGGCAAACTTGTCGTGTTGGATGAGCTAGCCAGTGCTGGCTTACAGTTTGAGACAGCAACAGGGAGGAATGGGAGGTTCTGGGTGAATAGCGAGAATATGAAGACGATCAGTATTGTGGGTCGGGCAGTGACAGAGACAGACGAAAAAGGCCTTAATGTTGACCAGCAGAAGAAACTAGTCAGGTCATTAATCAAAGAACTGAGCTGAAGGAATTATAAAAACCCAAAAAATCGTGACCGTGTATGCATTTGTGCTATCATCTGAAGAAATTCTACCATCCTAGAACGCCAAGATCCGCCTGCTCAACACTAGCCGGCTGTTGCAGGACAAGTAAGGCCCGTCGTTATCCCATTCAAATACAAAGAAGAAAATGCCCTAACGCCTCATCAATTTGAATTAATCATCTTGGACAAGACGTACCAGAGCGATGTACTTGATGTCAGGCCAAGCTCCCTGTGTTGAGCCTCACCAGCTTCCAGATGCAAATAGCATCCGAAAGAAGAGTCTCAGCACGGCGAAGCTTGTCCAATGATGTTAATTCGATATATTTCACCTAGTGCATCACCGAGCACAATAATATTCGTTACTATCGATCTCAATCCCTAACCAACTCCTTGATGGAACCCCACGTTCCTATGCCAACCGATAACGACGGGCCACCAACGCCAATCATGTCGAAACGTCATTCATTCATGTCGCTCGGACTATCAAACCCTAAAAGATTCGGCTGCCTCTGTATTTGGGAGTGAACCCAATTGCAAAGGCATCAAGAACAACGTGAGCTCGTGACAGAGTCTGGAAGCCGCGATATATAAATATAGATATGTGCATGTGTGGCCAGATTATCACATTACGTATCATGCGAAGCTGTCTGGCCACGACAGGGTCTTGGGTATTGTTGCTCAAGCACCTGTCATTTCTTGGTCAACCTCGACAGGTTCAGGCAGGCTGCCTTGGTCCATGCCGTGGATCTTGACCATGTGCCTCTTCCAGTTGTCTTTTCTTGGAAATGCTTTCCCTCCTGTCCTGGAATAATCGCATCCAGGCATTGAGCAGTGGAATTTCTTCTTCTTTTCATGGCGGTCATTGATATGACGTTGCAGGTGGGTCTTGGTGCCGAAGCCCTTCCCACAGCCTGCATACGGGCATTTGTGGTCCTTGCTATGATATCTCTGGTGGTGTCTATAAAAATAAAGGTTAATTATTGATACTCGGGATCTACTTGATTTTTGATGACACGGACTTTAGTTTGTGAGGCTGGTCAAAGAATTGGTTGCAACCGCGCTCATCGCAATGATAGACACCGCCCTTTGGTGAAGGAGCATTCATGCCATTTGGTGGAGAAATGCTCTGGCGGAAATCGGAGCTATTTAATGACCTAGGGGAAGGAGTATCGCCATGTGTAGAAGGTGTGCTAAGTGTGGACGGATTCGTAGAGCAGGCTCCGGGTACAGAAGCAGGCTGGGCTGATAAGCGTGAAGTTGGGACAGATTGGGTCGCACTGAGAGTAGATGTCGAGCTGGGATCCGGAGTTGACTCTGGTGCAACAGGAGGAGGCGGTCCTGGCTGTTGAGAGCCGGTAGCGTGCCTCGAGGAGATAATTGTAGTTGAGGGGCCTGAGTTAGAGACTGGGGGCAAATCCTCTCTAATTAAGATCGATGCTGGAGCCACCACGGAAACTGGGGGAGCAACACTGTCTGGTTGCACTAATTCAATGGAGCTTGGCATTTCAGGCGGCGAATCCTGGTTTGAAGACGAGTATAGCTGATAATCAGCTCTGTGCCATATTTCAGATTCGGTTGCCGGTGGCATGATGTCCATTGGGTTTACCGTTCCAAATATGGGAAGGCCAAAGGAAAAGTCCAATTCGGAGGAAGCAGCCTGGAAGGTGTCCTGGCTTGCATATCCCTGCATGGTTGGAACCTCAACCGCCGATCCAGCTACACGATAATATTGAGGGTACTGTGAATGCATTGGAGTTCCTTCCAACTGCTGAGTTGGATAGAACTGCGCATACTGGACAGCGTCCGAACTCTGAGGGACGACTGGAAACTGGTGACCCTGCGCAGGCGTATAGTCACTATACGGGATAGAGTGCGGCGCGGCTTCTGGCTGGTCCGGAACAGCTTTTCGGCGGAGAAGCGATCGAACATTGTGTCTTAACGATGTGCCTCGTTGAGCGCTGCGTTGGGGTTCCGAGGGAGGTTCAATAACAGCCGCTGGCGGCGGGTACATCCCAAAGGCCTCTGACGGCACATATGGACTGTAGTAATCCTCACTGGTACCTTTTAGGACAAACTGATTGGGCGCAGACGGCGGCGGTGGAACAGTATCTTGGTAGTAGGGAAAGGGTGTTGAGAAGTTGTCGTGATTTTGCGGCACCAACTGGGGGTCGGCAGCGGTGGACTCAATTGCAGAGGCATCGTAGCCTGTCGCAGGCGGTCGTGCTTGGCCTTGGGCCGGTTCCACGGAATAGACGTAGCCATTTTGTGAGTTGTAGTTTTGCTGGCTCTTGCCTTCGTCGTCGGTCTTGTCGCTAGATGATAGTCGTCGGGGGCGGTCGCGCGGTTGGCCCCGATATGTGGTGCCGTATTCGCATTCCCAAGAGTAAGGTTTGGACCGGCGGCGCTTCTTGAGATAGTGAACCACGAGAGGGTAGAGACAACAAACCAACAGGGCAAAAGCGAGGACAACGCCTACGGCAGTACCGGCGATGGCCTCATCGTCCATCCGCCGGCCGGGCGACCGGCCATCCCTCCTGGAGACTGTGGCCATCAACTCATCGTCTCTAAGCTCCCATGACTGGGTCTGGGGAGAGATAGGGAGGGGTTGGTCGGGTTTGGGGGAAGACGTTGTAGTATCAGAGGTATCACGAAAAGCCTCTTCGGCGGGGGTGAAGCCAGCAACACCGATTGCTGTGTGGAGGTCGTCGGCGTGACGGGAGGGCGCGAATTCCATGACGTGAAAGCAGAGCGTTGAGGAGCGGGAGGCCGCCCACGAGATGTGGACAAGGGGCCGGGCCGGGCTAGGGCCTACTGCGTCAGAGCGAACGTACGCTGGCACTCGAGAAACAGTCCATTTACCCTGTGTTAAAGCATCTTGAGACGCACAGGTAGGTACGGCTGCGAGAGACCGGAGATGGAAGTAGGAAGTGATGGACTCGACAGAGGTTAAAGGTAATAAGGTAATTTTAGGGCAGTGGTAAGGGAATCCGGTCCAGCCGTCAGCCAAAAAGTCCCTGCTGTTACACGAACGTGCAGATGGGCGCGACACTTTAAAAGCGCCGGCCTGGACTGGGGCACTTCGCCACTACCTAAACGGCAAGGGGGCAAGTGCGGCAGGTTCGCCGATGCATGCAAATTCCATCCATTCAGTGTAAAAGTACTCTGTACGCACCGCACCTACGCAAGCCAATGCTTCTGGATTTCGGCTCTTGGCGAGGCTAACCCGCCAAACGTCCTCTCCCCACTTGGTCTACACAGACCACCGCCCGCTGCTTCAACGGGGAAGGAGGGAAGCGCGATTTGCATCTCACTTGATTCGCTGATGCGTACAAATTGGTTCTGGAAGCACTTTGTCGTAGGGAATTTATACGAGTATCGTGCGCTGCGGCCGGTCATAACCTTTGGAGCGCATTTCTGTATTCATCGTACCTGATCTACGCGATGGCCAGCAATCCCGATACTGCCCTGTGATTGAACCAACCATTCAGCTCCTGCGGTTTCATGTACCTCCCAACTGCATCAGTGGATGTGGTGAGCATCCCGCGGCCATTGCCAAGTTCCACTAAATGACGGTTTTGAGCCTGTACTATTATGTACCAGCCGACAGATGTAGGGTACCTCGCAAACCAATGGGCATTTGAGGTGCGAACTGGGTCATCTGTGGCACGTAGGTTGGTAGGTTATAGCCCACGAACTTAGCAGGCGACTTTTTAGACTTGCAGTTAAGCTGTGCTATCGCCATCACCCGCCATTTCTCACAACCTCCCAAAGGGCATGGGGCCCCTATGCTCATCCCGGTTCCATCTGGACTTTCTTTCTCTGGGGCCCGGCAGCTTCTGGTTGCCCCCCGCATTCCTGGCCAAGTCGCCGTCCTTTATGTGGATAATATAGCAAATTCCCGCATGCACAGCCTACCTTGTCCGGCCCTGGATGAAGCAGTTCTTTTTTTCCCTACATCGCCAGGATTAGATCATGATATCAGCAAATGCGCATATCAATAACGCGAACTCAATGGGACCGACCATGTAGATTGATTTCCATTCCGTGTATCGTATCTTTGACTTTTTTTTGATTGTCTAATTCCAACCCTGTCATACATTGGCTCGTTGACAACAACATCAGGATACAATCGATCAGCGATAGTAATCAGTGAACGACTTGTGTTGAATGAAGCCCTTTTCGCGTTTTGCCTCCTCTGCTCTTCCCCAAATCATTCATTCCCTTCCATTATAGACGAGATCTCTAAACCGACTTCCTTTACAGGTGCCCGCACTTGATTTATACCTTCTCCACAGGCCATCCTCAAATCTCAGGTAGCTCACTACCAGTCGGATACATTAAACGATTCGAAACTATGCATATCTTTGGCTCAACATAGATATCCGCCATGTGTCGTCAAAAGACTGCTCTTCAAAGAAAAAGGATCCTTCCACCCTGCTCCGCATCATCCCAAATTTGGGAAGTATACTGGGAGTTTCGTCTTTGACCAGCAAAGTATGACGAATTTGTCCTCGAGTGCATCACGATGACTTCGGCTTGTCTAGCTCGAGTAATGGCGACATTCAGTCGCTTTGGGTCATCCATGAATCCCACTTTTGTAGTCCTGACCATGTCAAGGAATACCACATCCGCCTGATTTCCTTGAGCGGTGTCAACTGTCAAGACTCGAACCCTGCTTTGCCAAGATTCCGGCCATGTCCTTACGTGCGAATTATACTGCCGCAACGCAGTACTGTATGGAGTTTGAATCATGATGCTCCCTGGAGCATCCTGATTAATCACACTTGTAAACTTTGTATCTCCGAGCAACCGTTCTACCTGTGCCAATATCCAACGATGATTGACTGGGTTCCAGTAACTCCTCTTGTAGACATCTTCGCGGCTGCCTTTGAGCTCAACTACAATTCGGTTTTCACCGAGTGTGGTAGGTTTGGTACCCAAGTTCTCGAGGTAGGACTTTAGGTGCAATGTACTGGGGGGATACATGGCTTCTTCTCCGTGGTTGGAAACCATTCTACCGTGATAGAATAGTTTTGAGGGAAGCCGATGGAGATTCCCATGAGCTCGGGTATTGGTGAGTAGCCAGCTGTCTATTGCCCCTACTTTGGCTGCACGTGCCATCGTGCTCATACGCAATTGCCGAGCGAATGCATTGTATTTGAGACCCTCTCTCTCCGTCTGCTGCCTGTGACCTCCCTTCACAAATGGTTCAGTTTGGTTAACGTCTCCGGTGAAGATCCAGGCCAAGGGTTCGAAGAATGCGATGGGAATTAGTGTAGTAAGTTCGCGAGCATGCGGAGCCTCGTCGATGAACACTATCTCGGGGCGGAACAACCGAGAAAAGCTAGAGAACGTTGCAACAGGTGTCGTTGCGACAAAGTCGGCCTGGCATAGAACTGCGCGGTAGAGAAGACATACTCTTCTTCTAAGCGACTTCCAGTCATCAGTGCTGAAGGCTTCCCCCTTATCCATACGGCCAAGCAACACTGCAAGCTCAGAATAGTCCTTCTTCTTGTACTCGTAGTGTTCCCAGGCTGCTTCGTCAAGGGTAGGAGCTTTGTTTTGATTTCTCTTGTTGCCACTGTGTACCGCTAGTTGGAAGGTTGTCAAGAACTTCTTTGTGAAGTCGGGTTGACTCTGTTTCAGGTCCGGTTCCGTCTCTGTGTTATCAACCATCTGTTGTTCAGGCGCTGCGTTGAGTTTACTGCTGTTGCTCATCTCATATGGCCAGCCGTGCATTCTGATTATTTTGTTCTTCAGGCCGCATGATCGGCACAGCTGAAAGTATCGATCGGCAGCGTCGTCTACTGTCTTGTTCAGATCAACTAGGAAGAGAATTGGGCTGCGCTTCCTCGCGGACCCTGGCCGTTGTCTTGCTTGTATGAGAGCTGATACGACCATATTCCATTCCGTTTTCCCCGCTCCTGGGCAGCCATTGACAAAATAGAGTCCATTTGAAATATTAGACAGGCCTTCAAGAGCCGCGCGATGATCATCGTTGAATGATAAAAACTTGTCAACCAGGCCTTGTGGAAGTTTAAAACATGGATCTTCCGGATTCTTCAAGTGCGGAAACGTCTGATGCAAACTGGAAGAAGTTTTTGGAGTGTTCCGAAAGTCTAGAATGGTTTGAAAGGCCAATAGAGACTTCTCGGAAGGACGACGCTCGTGAATTCTCTTCTCCACTGCCAGATGCCGAAGGGCTGCCAACTCTGCGTCGTAAGTAATAGAGTTGGTGGGGAAGCGGATGCTGATGTGCTGAAAAGGACTGTCGAGCGAAATCAGCTGGTCAATGGAACTTCCGACCTGAAATTCCTCCATGAGATTGAGCTCAAGGTCATCCCCAGCATCGCTTTTCCAAGACCTGGGAACCTCAACTTTGAAAGCCGCAAGAGAGCGGAGCCTCGCCTCTGCGCTCTCAACTTCCTCATAGGGATTAGGTACCCTGCTAGCTGGTAGATGGTATAAGGTAAACGTCCCTGCATCACGAACAATTTCCTTCAGGAAATCTATCGTGAATCGGTCCGCCATTGAAGGAAAGTTGGACTCTTCCGATGCACTTGGAGGCTTTACAAGCACAAGCCAGGATCGTGAGAAAGGTGTAAGCAGGCCGGGGATTGGGGCGATCGGCCAAGCTTCAAATTTCAAGTTTTTGGCGTTGAAATTCTTGAGCGTTAGCTCCTCGTTGTCCATTTCTATCATAGTACCTTGCTCATGGCGATCCACAAACACTTCCATCACCGGAAAAGTGTGGAGGATGATGTGGCTTGCTTGGTATTTCCTGCAAGGGGTGGGAGCCTTTACTGCCTTTGAAGCATCAACATCGAGACTTGGTGATGTTTCGAGGGGGGTAGGCTCAGCCATCGTGATGAAGTCGTGATGAAGTCGTACGACTTGGTGGTTCGAGTGTCAGGAAAGAGTTCGGTGGCCAAGTGATTGAATGATATGACAAGTTGTTGGAGGAGTTGCTGCTTCAGGAAGGCATGCTGGGTGAGAGAAGGTGGGCAAGAATTAGGTGAGGAAGAAATCACGAAGGGGAAGAGGAGAGGAGAGAAGCAGGAGTTTATCTGGGCTCTCTCGATTAGTAGGTAGGCCACACTCTACCCACCTGAGGAGAAAGTGAGAACTGCTGCCCCAATGCCTTGAGCTGAACTCCAAGGAGGACTTACGAGGTACCTAGGCAGGCAGTCGGCAAATGCGGGCAAGAAGAGGTATCTGGGCAGCTGCCTCAGGTATCTAGCAGCGATTGAGATTGCATTGTTCACTGATCAACTCGCCAGGAAGGAGCAACCCGATAAGAGCATGTTTCTGCCTGAGGTAGACACCTACCCAGGCAAGCAGACACAATAAAAGGACAAGTACCTAAGGTAGGTAATTGTTGGTCCAAAGGCCACTAAAATTAATGAGTTGACCTGGTCTCCTGAGTTAGTTTACTTTTTAACGAGCAGTGCTTTCTTGCTTTGCTTGAGGAAACGTTTGGACAACTATTATTCCTTTCTAGAATACAACAGTCACTAGAAGCTTTAAGTGATTAAATAGGTAGGTAGATAAATACTAGTAGAGGTACATTCTCGTCTCTGTTTAGCTGCATTACAATAGGTTGATTTGAAAACATCATCTTCCCTATTTTGCCTTATCGTTCCGTATAGCGTATTGCCGAAACAGTTCGTCGACATAAATTATTTGTACAGCACTTGTTATCTTACTCTTTAATCAGAAAGATTACCAGGTTAAATCAATCGCCATACTGCCACACTGCGCTGGAGCGTAAGTCTCAGCGGTTGTATGGTCCTCTATCTCAAGTGGCTCGTGCATTCCTGATCCATACATCCGATAGGATTGATTCTGTTGCCGAATAGATTTCTGTTGGCGAGGTGGATAGCCAACAGGGGCATCTATTATCTCAATGGCATCGTGGGCGCGGTCAGTTAAGCAAATGATATTGTTCAAAGATGGCTGGTGTCGGGTCATCCCATCCTGCTTTAAAAGCCAACTTTCCAGATGTTGATACAGCACCATGACCGTGTTAGGAGGAAAGGCGTTCCCTATTTGGCGCTTGATAGATGTTCTTGTTCCTCGAAACCGATGATACCAAGGGAATCCTTGAAGGCACGCGAATTCCCGAAGGGTGAAATCTCGGGTGCCGTCAGGGTAGCAAGAGTCCGACCCACTTGTCGTCAGAGTACCAGCTAAGCGATCTGGGTTGTAGGAAGGTCTGGGTGGTTCAAAATGTTTAACTGTAGAAGTGTCGTGAAGTGGATCACTTTGCCGAATGCCTTGCAGAGCTTCTCGAATCGTTACAAAGGGTTTAAGTCCACCAGCGCCATTCTCGGAGTATAAAGCGTCTGGGTAAGGAGGCAACCTCTCTCCTGGCGCTGCAGCTATCATGATGAGGCGTTTTCGGTCCTGTGCTGAGCCCCAGGTACAGAGCTTGACTATCTTCCAACGCACCGAATAGCCATATTGGGTGAAATCGTTAATCAGGGTGCAGAGATACATCCGGTGGCGATCATGGGTGATGCCGAAGGTTTGTTCAACAGTCACAATTCTTGGTCGTACTTTGTCAATGAGTGAACCACAAGAGAACAAAGCAAAAATGTTTGTGTCGTCGTGGACGGATTCGCGAGTGTGAGCTGGGGAGAAGAATTGGCAGGGTGGCGATAGGTGTAAAAAGTCCGCCCGTGGACACCTTTTCTCAGCTCTGACATATTCATCCACGGAGCCTTGAAATAAACGAGTATCGGGAAAGTTTGTCCTATATGTTGGCCAAACCTCAGCAGCTTTATCAATGGCGTGCGTGACTTTGAGCCCAGCCATTTTAGCGCCACGAGACACACCACCAGCACCGGCGAACGAATCAAACAAGGTGTATTTCTGGGAAGCACTTCGAGGTGTTGGACGGTGGCCGTTTGTTTTGGTGTCTGTTGTTGGCCGCTCTTCAGCCTCTAAAGGCCAGGAACCACCAGGATATGATCGCCCTCGCCAGATGTTACTTATTTCAGCTTCTGCGACTCGATATTTCGCCTCGGAGACCTCGCTTTCATGTACGCGGACAAGGCATTCCTCCAAGGGTTTGAACATCGCAGCTTGCCTGAGTGAGCGTATTTCGAACTTCCAACGGCAAACTAATGGATCCGTTTCCTCAGCGACACGGCCTTCTCCTGCTTGACCATGAACCAGGCCTACACAAGGGCTGGCTACCGAGTGTTGAGGCCAAACAGCATTGGTGATTATGAGGGTGTGCGGTTTTCTCACGAAACGGATATTGGCGTCGACCAAGGTCGGTGCTCTGGTCACATCATCTTTGTCAAAGTGCAAGATTTGGCACACTTCGTTGCGTTTTTTGGGAAGCATGTTGCATAAGTATCGGTTCCGAATGTAAGGTATGCCCCGTATCTTGTGCTCTCCCATTATTGTCCGTACGATTGCGCTGATGAGGATAAAGTTCACCTGGTATTTGCCGATTTTCACTAGTTGAACTTCGACAAAATCCCCAGGCTTGATAATCCCCGAAGGTCCTCTGTAGGAAGTAAGCGCATGCTCTCCATATTTGATTTGAGCTGTAGTCGTTTCGCTGTCATCGATGGTGAGGTCGATGACCTCGTCGTCCGAGGAGAGATCAAGGAATATAGTTTGGACTGGCTCTTCTCGTCCGACAGTGCAGGTGGATGAGACACTACTCCCACGGCTTCGTCTCCCACCAGATTGGCGTTCAAAAAGCACCTCAAGGTCGCCTCCTGGATCCAAGCTAAGAAGTCCGGGCATCGTGCTTTCCTACATAAGCCAGAGGCGAAAGGTTGGGTCAACCGAGAAGCTTTGAAGGATTATCTGAACGAGGGATATTTCTTTTTCGGGGTCTCTTGCTGTATGATTATCCGTATGGATACTGACTAGGCGATCCACGAGATGGCTGGGTGGAAGGAAGTATTCTGGAAAGCTTCTGCGGAGATGTGCATCACTTAAAGCGTCGATGGTGCATAGCCCGCGATGTCTTCTCTGTGAATAGATTCCAGATTAAAAAAGTGAACGAAGCTAGAATGGTGAAGAACGTGAGGTTTGATGTTTGGGGTTGGGAAGATTTGACACCGAAGTGAGAGTCTGGTGAGGGTGGACTTCGTATGCGCAAAGTTGATTGTGTAGTGTTGATGTATACCTAGGTAGTAGGTACCTAGGCAAGGCCAGGTACGAAGAAAAAAAAACACTCATTCTACATGTGGCTCGTTTATTATTTCACTGAGGCCTCTAAGTCTCAGTTACAGCAAGCAGCAAACCCATACCAAGCTAGGGGTACCTATCAATCAGCAGCCGTTCACAGCAGTATCGGGTGGGCACGTGCATATCTAGGCTATACATGAAGCGTATTTGCGAGAGCGTAAGAGGATGCCACCTATGAAAGGGAAGAAAAAGACTTAATAAACGCCTAGCGACTATTTTGATTGCATAAACATAGTCTCTACAGCCTCCAACGCTGAAGGGCTGTGATTCTGGAGGTCGGCAGAACCATCCACCGATGGCCGAGATCTCGAACGATGGAAGCACAAAGGCAGGAGCGACCCCACACCTCGCACTTAAAACCCCTGCCCACTAGTACGTACCTTTTGGCGCGTCAGAAGCTGTTTGGTGCAACCATGAATTTGATGTCAACCAGCTGCTGAGACTAGTAGTCTAAATTCTAAATAAGCATCATCTCAACCCAGATAACCACTTTTCTTCACGACGAGGGGCCTCGATAGGACCTCGGGTTTTCTCTGTGAGCTACATCCTCCACCCCAGCTCGGACGTTCATTACGCGTATCCATAGCAACCGTTAAAGTTTGAAGGCCCATGATATGCGCCCCAGCCAGCTTCCAGTGCTCAACTGATTTATTGACGGGTGTTTTAGGCTTTTTCCTCATTTTCTACTTTGCACGACGCTCGATCTCGAATACGCTCATTAGAACTTGCTTTTCAGGAACGAATTTTGCGGTTTCTGCTCCGAGCTACGAGATGTCCAAACGCCGATTGAATCGAGACGATGTCGGATCTTAACGAGGAACTAGCCAAATGGTTCGAGGAACTACAGAAAATACCCCAAGAGCACCATCTGCTATGTCCTAGGATCTCTGATGAAGATGGCGAGAACTACAAGACTTTGGAAGATCCACACTCAGAGATTTCGATCGAAGAGAAGAAAAAACGTATCCAAGATGGTGATAGGCGTATTGAGATCACATACTGGAATAGTTTAATATTTGGGTTCGACAAAAGCGATGCCGGGAAGTGGTTGGAGGACTTCACCAGCAGGTTGGAAAGTTACCTCAAGCACTGCTCCGATTGTGTCCTTAGCTGGCATATGAAACGCAAAGCTCACCTCCAAAAGTTTGCCGAGTATGTGTTCTATTTACCATCGCAAAGTAGAAGTAACCGAGTGTACTAATTCTTCTAGGCGCTGGAACGAGGATGCCGTTGCACAAATTCGAGACCTCCTTGATCGACTCGATATCAAGCGTATCGACCACAACCTAAAATGGGCGAAGGAATTTATTGAGAAGATCGAGGCAACTGGTGCGGTGTTCAAGAAGTCTGCATTTGGAGAGTATTTATCGGAAGTCCACATCGCAGTCTATGAGGCTCTTTGCTGCGTTCCCTATATGGCGATCCCGGACCAGCGAACAACCTTCCAGTATGTTTTCATGAGACTACAAGGAAAGAGTTATTTGAAGCTTGGTACCAAGGATCCTCTTCCAGGAATGACATATTTTCTCTTCGATCAGAAAAATGAAGATCGGAGGAAATGGGCCTATGAAAACTGGAAACATATAGAACCAAACTCCATGAGCGAGGAGCAATTCGATTGGGCTGTAAGTGGTGGGCTAGTGGCGGCAATGGACGAAATCAGCAAGAAGGATCTGGCCAGTGCAATTCCCGAGACATACCTCGAAATCGAAAGATTCTGGCTTGGCTTTGAACAAATCCTTGGGGCCCTGAACGAGCAACTTATTCTTGCACGACTCCGAAGCCTTGAAGTCCGTCCAGGATGCCCGAACATCTACGAATTGCTTTTCCGCCACATCCAATCATGCAGATGCGAAGGAATCCTTGTTGTCGGGATTAGAATCCTCGTCGCATTCCTCAAAATATCTCCCAAACCTTTCTGGGACGTCATCGGTGATGCTCGACCTAATGTCATTGCCGATCTCATTTGTGGAAGCCCGGTGTATCAGACACTTCTTCGCCAGTCCTTGGAAGACTGCTGGAGCGAATTCCAGGCAGGACCTGATTCTGTTCCGTTTCCAACCTCGTGGGTTGGCCCATGGCTTGAGTCGATAGGTCGTGATCGCAGGTACGATGCTTGTGACGGCCTCTTGCATACCCTGTTTGAGACCTTGGCTAAAGATCCGACGATTGGGGAACCTGGCCAGGCAGCTTGCATTCGAGCTGGGTTCGACGCGATGACCTTCACTTTGGAAACATTTGTTGGATCCAACAAAAGCTCAGGAAACTCGCATTTGTATGCCTGCGGCATCTTCAACGTAGTCATGCGCTATAAGGATTTGATTTTGCAAAACCTACATGCTCCGGCAACTTCGCACTTGGGTTGGAAGACATTCCATGTTGCCCAAGCTGCGCAAAGCGTGCTGAACTCAGCGATGAAACTCGACATGAAGTTATTTTCTGAAGAGTACCGCACCCTTCGCCGCTCCGAGAAACTGCAATCTACCATCACGAGGAACTCCAAACTATTTTGGGAGGGCATTGTGGAGATGTTTGATTCGTCAACGCAGCAAGCTTCGCTAGCAGAAGGGTTTTTGGTGTCTCTGGAGCCGTTGATTGGCATTGAAAAGATCCGCCCTCTCAAGAAGACCAACCAGCTTGATGAGCCCACCAAGGTATTTAACGTGGCACTTGGAAACACAACTGATGTTCTTGCAAGAATATTCAGTCGCATCTCCGAGCTTGATGTCACTGATTTCCAGAATTTATTTGCCAGTAATTTCGTTTTTCAAGTCACCATTGGTATTTCAATGCACAATGAGTCTGATATTGGCGAAGCATCTTCTGAATTGCTTAAAAGCTGGACAGGGGAGCTGTCTAGAAGTGGTGCCTTTGAGCAGATCACGCAAGACCACCCGGACCAAGCTATAGGCTCTGTTTTGTTTGTTCTTGACAGGGTTCTAAGGCACGCTGCTGATGAAGATCTTCTCCCTCCCTGGGAGCCAATTCGGCCTATACTTCATATGAGTCGAGACGTGCTTCGGGGGCTTAGCGACCCAACAAACGGAGTTTTGCGAACTAAGACTCTGGAACCGAAATCGGTTGCCATCGTCTTGCGATGGTGGCAGGAACAATGGCTGTTCATCTCGAGGGCATGCCGAAATATCGAGTCATGGTCGCTCTACGTGTCAAACAATACCATGCAGGAATTTTGCCGTGAGATCATGGAGTTGGCCGAAGCCTTGATTGCAGAGGATGGCCTAATTACGTCGGTCAGTTCCAAAGCACGGAACAAGAGCGATCAAGAAATGATGGAGCAGATTCTCAAGCCCGCAAAGGACAACTTTCAGGGTATGGAGAATATGATTCGACTTCGTGATCGGTGGCTGGTGGACGTCACTGTACGAGTCCTTTGCAAGATTCTCCAACGTCTCCGAGAGAACCACTTGGAGATCGCCGAGAGCTCCCGGAGTCTCATCCTTGATGCCTGCATTGCCAAAGGCAGCCCACCTCGATACAAACGTCTCACCAATTTGACGGATCAGCAACGGGCCGAGCTGCTTCAAGCGCTAGGTTACACAGATGACGAGGTACAGGTCCACCAAATCAACGCTATTCAAGGGCGGGCAAAGGATCAAGTGAAGAAACAGAGCAGTTTGGATGCCTGGTCCAAGTCAGGCAGCACAGCATCTGGTCATGGCACGCCAAGGACGAACCGAGATGACGTTCTTGAGCTTAGCAAATCTATCGACAACCCGATCCTCAAGCAGCTTGAGGCGAGGAAGCAGCTAGAGGCAAAGAGAGCTGCAGCAGCGAAACCGAAACTGCCGCCTAAGGTGCCAGACCAAAGGGCCATATCTGCCTTGAAGGAGAGCCGTCAAAGAGAGAAGGCGGAAAAGCTCAAGCGGGACGCTGAAATTGTTGCGCGAGCTAAGCAGCTTCGGGGAGAGACCGTGCATGGAGAGGGCTCTTCGTTGGCAAAATTGGCATCTCTTGGAAAGGATCATTCGAGAAGCGAAATAATGGTCAATAGTTCAGACGAGGAATCTGAAGTCGAGGAAGACTCAGATTCAGATAACCAGCTCGCCGAACTAAGCAGCGGAGGTCGGAAGACATTAGATGAGGCAGAGAGACGCAACCGAAAGGCCTTGCTGGATAAGACCCGCAGGCCGGTGAAGAAGATCAAGCAACAACGATCTGCGAAGGAGATGCGAGCCCGTATTATCCCCCCAATGGACCGGCTGCATAATACAATTCTTGCCTGGGATATCTTCCATGAAGGAAATGATCCACCTAGTGGTCCTAAAGGGAGCGAAGTCGCCACGAAGTATCCGGATCCCAGGTCGTATCAGGGTACATTCTTCCCCCTCCTGGCCTCAGAAGCCTGGCGTGCCTTCGTTACTGCTAAAGATGAGATTACTTCTCAACCTTTTGGTATGAAGATCGCAAGTCGAGCTAGTGTTGATAGCTACCTCGAGGTTACTTTCACAATGCCTATTGTTCAAAATAAGGACCGCGGTGTTTCTGAGGGAGACATTCTTCTTGTTTCTGAAGCCGAGAAGCCATTGCTTGATTCAACGGCCAAGCACTGTCTCGCTCGGGTGCATCGTATCCAGTATAAGAAGGATATGATTGAAATTACTTATCGCGTTGCCTCTCGAAACAATCCCTTGTCAATTACTCTCAACCCCGGCATTACTGTCTACGGAATAAAAATAACGAACATGACAACCATTGAGCGAGAGTATGCCGCCCTGGAGAGTTTACAGTACTATGACCTAATGGACGAGATTCTCAAAGCCGAACCATCCCCGATACTGAGATACGGAGAAGAAAAGGTGACTAAATGGATGGGAAACTGGTCTCTCAATAGAGGGCAAGCCTTGGCCGTTCTCGGTGCTCAGGAGAACGACGGCTTTACATTGATTCAAGGGTAAGTTGATTCTACGAATTTCAAACGCAGCCTTCTTTGTGCTGTTGGTACTAATTGGTTGACAGACCTCCCGGAACCGGAAAGACCAAAACCATTGTTGCGATGGTTGGTGCCTTGCTTTCCGAACAACTGGGGTTGCAGCTGGGCGGAACCGCGATTGGCAATCCTCTCAACAGACCAGGGGCACCTACACCTGCAAATACTCAGACACGCCCGAAGAAGCTTCTGGTCTGTGCTCCAAGTAACGCAGCCGTAGATGAAATCGTCTTGCGTTTGATGGGTGGGATAACGACTGTCAATGGTAAGCAGAGCAAAGTCAATGTGCTGCGATTGGGTCGCAGCGAGGCGATTAATGCTGCTGTGAGAGAGGTCACATTGGACGAAATAGTCAAGAAACGCCTTGAAAGTGATGGAACTCGAGACAAGGCCAAGGCTGATCGAGACAAACTTCATCAGGATGCAGGTAAGATCAGAGAGGAGCTCAATCAGCTCAGACCCCAGCTTGATGAAGCAAGAGGTCAGGATAAAGCAAAGTATGACACATTGTCTCGCCATTTTGAGCAACTCAAGCGACAACAAATGCAGATTGGCAAGCAGATTGATGCAAACAAAGACAGCGGCAACTCCATTGCAAGAGAAACTGAGCTTCGGCGTCGTCAGATCCAACAAGAGGTTCTCAACTCAGCCCATGTCCTGTGTGCTACACTCAGTGGTAGCGGTCATGAGATGTTTAGAAACTTGGAAGTTGAGTTCGAAACCGTCATCATCGACGAAGCTGCGCAGTGCGTCGAATTGAGTGCTTTGATCCCACTCAAATATGGCTGCTGTAAATGTATCTTGGTTGGAGACCCCAAGCAGCTTCCGCCCACAGTACTTTCACAGTCCGCCGCGCGTTTTGGTTACGACCAGAGTCTGTTCGTTCGAATGCAGCAAAACCACCCGAAATCGATCCACTTGCTTGATGTACAGTATCGTATGCATCCCGAGATCAGTACATTTCCCAGCACAGAGTTCTACGAACGGCAGCTCAAAGATGGCCAGAACATGCTGCAGCTTCGGCAGCAGCCCTGGCACAAGAACGTTCTTCTGGGGCCCTATCGTTTCTTTGATGTGCAGGGTGTACAAGAAAGGGGCCACAGAGGGCAATCCCTGGTCAACACAAGAGAATTGGAAGTGGCCATGCAAATCTACGACCGATTTAGCACCGAGTATCGCGACCTTGACCTGACGCGAAAGATTGGTATCATCACCCCTTACAAAGCTCAGCTGTTCGAGCTTCGTGCTCGATTTAAGTCTCGATATGGCGAAAGCATCACAGAGATTATTGAATTCAACACGACAGATGCCTTCCAAGGACGAGAATGCGAGATTATCATATTCTCCTGCGTCCGTGCTAGCCCCACGGGTGGTATCGGGTTCATGACAGATATCCGACGTATGAACGTCGGATTAACCCGAGCAAAGTCGTCTCTTTGGATTCTCGGAGACTCAAAGGCCCTCGTTCAGGGTGAGTTTTGGAAGAAGCTCATCGAGGACTCACAGTCACGCAACTGTTATACAAAGGGTGACATTCTCTCTATGCTCCGAAAGCCGCTTGAACAACGCTCTATAGCGTCCTCGCCGTCGAATATGACCTCCAATGGAAACCATGAAAACAAGACCATGGTGATGCGCGATTCTTCCTCTAGCAAGCCCCCTACCTCGACACCTAAGCCTTCTGGGCAGACGCGGCCTGCACCTGCAGCATCTGGGCGAAGCCCTATCCCGGGTTTCGGATCTGGTCATGATGCAAGGCCCCCTCCACAAGTAGCCGGCCTGCCAGTCATCCATACGTCTTCAGAGAGATCGCCATCCGATACGAAGAAGCGACCGTTGGAAGGGCCCGACACGGGTCAGCCAACAACCAAAAGGGTATGTGTCCCGTTGACGAGAATCACAAAGCATGCACGTAAGACTAATACAATCACAGATCGCCAGCAACGGGCCCCGATCCTCAATGCTGAGCAAATTTGGCCAAAAGCCCAGCAAGGTCAAACCCCAGAAACCACCAACGGATCCATCCGCAATGTCGGTTCTGGGAATGGTACCACCTGAAAGGCCTCCTCCCATCCCCAACTCGACACCAGGAGGAGCCCCTCCGCGGCCGATTCCACGAAACTCGTCTGATGGGCCAGTGCCACCTAACCCATCAAACAACAAGGTTTGACTCTATAGTTCCCAACCCGTAAAGATCAAGAGATTGGTACTGACACTGTTATAGCCACCTCCACCGAAGGGACCAAAGAAAAAACCAAGCTTGTTTGTGCCGCGAAAGCGATAGCCAAATGAGCAAGTCTCCACATAGCTGTACATAAGGAAGAAGTAATACCATATAGAAGAACGATCTGGCGTCTAGGGATTATCTGGGCCAGTTAGACTAGAGGGAACGCGGATGAGGTCCGTGCCGTCTCCCTTTCCCATCTCAGGGCCCGTACACATATTTAGGATTTGGACTTCGTAACAAAGGAAGAACGGATTCACTTGGATCGGCGTGCCATATGCCAATCCGAGGTGCAACGCGTAGGCCTCAAATTGGGAACACGTTGGAGTAAGAACTATTTACTACTCTGACCTGATGGCCAATTACAGAAAGTATGTTGGTCTGTAATCGTATCTCTGAAAAGAGCCACAATGCGGTCCGGTTCCTTGTCTAGTGCACCAACAGTGTTCACCTCAACGGGTTGCGCCGGCTGCTGAAGGCAAGGGGATCACAGCTTCAACCAAGGGTAGAGGGGAAGGATGTTGGGTAAGCTAAAACCAACCGCATTCAAGTCTTACTACGCAATTTCCATGGTCCTGCTGGATGACTTTCGATGCTCTCATGCATGGATGCTTCAATACGTGATGATAGGAAGACCTGTAAGCTTGCCAGTGAGGCCAACACAACATGCATCGAAACAACAACAGGCCGAAGAACCCAATCATACTACATACATATGGACAGGACCCTTGTCCCAATCCATGACACCTTCCAATTGACTGGGGGGTTACCAAGACGCCCGATGTCCCCATTAGGCCATTGGGGGGGAAGAGAGAAGGGGTGCCGGATCGTACCGACCCTGATCAATTGGTCGGAGACATTAGGAGAAACGAGGAGGAGGAAGCAGAAAGAAGAAGAAACGGGGCGCTCGGGAGGGGCAGCACACACAAACTGATAATGCGACTTTTGTGCGCGCGGGAGGGTGAGAGTTGGTGAGAGCTGCTACAGAAGGAGGAGGGGGAAAGTGATAGGTCACAGGTCTAAGGCTATAGGGATTAGTTCCTATGGTAAGCGTGTTCCTACATAGTATGTGTGTTTGCAGCTGCCTAAGCATCTATGAATAGCAGGCATATTATAGTCCTCACTGCTACGGAGGAGGAGGAGGCAGTACTGTGGTATTTGATTACCACTGCACCGTTGCGACAGGGCTGTGGGTGGGTAATTGCCAGCTCTATTATTACGACAGCGGTACATCCATGTGCAAGGCTTGCTGGTGGAGCAGCTCCTTCGGATCGCAAAATGGTACGTTTGCTGCGTGGCAGAGCGCGAGAGCGAACACTACTATTCACGGCATGCTATTACTAGGTACCTAGGTATGTGAGGTATATGGAGTACAACTGGTGTGTTGTGTGATGGCGGGCGATTGCCTCCAGCCTCCAGGCGCCCACACGAAGAGAAACATGGCAGGATCGGGATTGTGGAATGTCGAGCTGCAGCGATCTCCTCAGCCCCCTCGTGCTGATTGCCCCATTGCGCATGCAGACTGCTGCCGTCGGTGAGGAAAGAAGAAGGCGCCGACGGAAGAGGAAGACGTCGGATGGCAAGGGTGTATGGACTGAGAAGAGCAGGCTCGTGCGCTGGGCCCAGCAATTAGCACAGGTGTTAACCATCTAGGACCCTTCTGGATTTGATGGCTGGGGTGATGAATTTGATGGCTGGTTTGTGCGCAGATATGCACCGGTGATCAAACCCCAACCAAATGGATGGCTCCCAATCACGCCCACCGCTCGCGGAGGGTCCCGCAGCCCAGGCGTCCCCCCTGCACCCTGGTCTTGGGAAAAAGAAAGCAAATGCGCTGGTGACTGCCATTGATCACCAGCTGAAAGACACACATCACATCCCGACGGATAGGCACCTGTTCCCGATGCGCTGCGACGCGCTGCGATGCGATGCACGCTGGCTGCTGGAGGCTGGCCGCCCCCACCCTCCATCCCTTCGCCTTCCTTCATCCTGACCTCTGCTCTTGGTGTTGGTGCCCGAGCGACACCGAGTGTGGAGGTAATATCGATCAGCAACTCTTTATTTGGATCAAGGCTTGGGCTGGCTGCCACTCCACCGCCCGCTGCCGAAAGGCTCGACTGATTGGACTGTCGCGGCCTCTAGCCTCCCTCCCTAGCCCAGGGAAAAGCTGGGTCCAGCATCATCGTCAACATCATCCTCAGCGTCTTCACTCCCTCCCTCGTTAGTCTTATGATTGGCGTCTCCTGGGGGGCCCGGTCCGGATAGACGCCGTTGGCTGCCCTGGACCAATTCCATCTTCTCTGTCTCCGGACCCCTGTCGTCCAATGTACTTACTTGGTGATGATGCCCTTGGCCTATTTTTTTCCCTTTCGTTTCTTTTTTCCCCTTCATCTTCTTCTCTCTCCCTTGTTGCTGTCCGTTTCCTGGATTTCTGTATTCTTTTCTTTTTCCTCGTTCATCCCAACCTGCTGCCCTGGTCCCTTACCACATGGTAGCTGCCATCTCTCCTTTAGCAGTCTAGCAGCCGACCCCAAGCATCTGCCGGGTGATCTGCTGTGACATGCTTCCAGCCCGTCTCGTGTGAGACACGGGGCCCGGTGTTCCTCGCACAGCATTGCTCTTGTACCGCGCCCTCTCCAGCTTCCTCCCTCCCCGCCAGCGAGTTGCAAGGCTGTCCGAGAAAGGGTGCTGATCCTCACCAAGCCTGGCTTGGACAGCTGGAGGTGGTTCCTGGGCCGGTTCGGAAAGTATTAATTAATGTAAGTGCGCTCCAACTGACACAGCGTCTCGACATTGGAAGTTGACTGAGACAGAACTGCATCCTTTTCCAGCCCGCGCACCAGCCTCTGCCTGCTGCGCGTCTCACCGAGTTCCACCCTGGGCGATTACATCAGGTCTCGTCTCGTATGACGATCCCTTTCTGACCTTGCTGGCGCTTTCACTTACGCCATGACGGTCAATCGAGCCTCGATTGTGGGCACGGGAAGTGCTGGCCCTCACATAGCATCCCTCTTGGACCATGGGTCTGCCAACCACCGCCCTCGACGCCAATCCGCGCTGGATCTTGCCAGGAAGCCAGGTCGTCGCATACAAACCCGCAAGTCCGCCTCCGACCTTTTGGACGACGAGGACATCAAGCGCCAGCTCTACAACCCCATCCTGGCGCCACATCTGCAGAAGCGTCCTCCCACCAGCGATGGCGTCTCTGATCTAATTGACTTCTTACGGAACCAGACACCACCACCGGATCACTTCATGTCAATGCCGGATCATCCTGACGGTGAGGAGCGAGGACGGAGCTGGGCTCGATGGAAGAAGGGTGCTCGTCGTAGTAGGTCCCTCCCGAAACGCCAACCTCCCCCAATCCGTCTCCCAGATACCGCCGTCTCTGGTACAACAATCGGAGGGCACCGCCATATTGCCATCACCATCCCCCTTGACGCAGTTCCCATGGGGGATGTTCCACGTTCTCAATATCCAGTCTATCAAAAAGAAGCCGCAAAGCCCAATGGCTTGAATCAGAACCCTGTTCGGGCGTATGTGAATGAGAGAGGCGTCGTGACAGTGCTCCGAACTGTCAAGGAGGACCGCGAGACCTCGAACTCGTCCAATTGCTCTGAAGTGCCTGCTCAGAAGCAATCTCCCATTACTATCCTTCCGCGGACTCCTTCTTATGGAAATTCGCGTCAAAACACCAAGGGCTATCTCAGTGTTCCACCAAGTCGTGGCTCGGTCAACGGCTCCATCCAGGAAACCCCCCAGAGACTGCAGGGAACCTCAAGAGGCTACCCGGCACGTGCCTCTTCAATAAACAACCGTCCCATTCCGCCACCACAGCATGTGTCCATTGAGGGGGTTCTTTCCAAAGGGAGTGCCACCGTTACTTCTACTGATATTAAAACCGCCCTCCAGAACACGCGGCCTGTGTCGAGATCCAAGGCCGCTCCTGAGTCCAGAGTATCCCGCCTGTTAGGTTCACCGATCGACTTGGATTCCAAGCCACTACCATCTCTCCCACCTAAAGAAGAGCAGGAGAAGGAGGCCGAGCCACGTATGTCGGCTTCATCCCAAGAGGAAACAGCCCTTCATCGTTCCCACTCCACCAAAAGCCGGCGAGATCGAGTTCGCGATCGCAAGCGACGAGACATAGAGGCACATTTGAATACGAAGACGCTCCCGCAGGACGAATCAAGAAGGCTCCAGACCCCTGTACACGACAGTGAGCCCCAGATTTCTAGAGAGCCTGAAGTTGTCAACAGCCAAGAGAGCGCCGCCAGCTTCCCAACATTTATTCCAATCCAAGTGGTGTGCAGCTTGGAGCCAACACCGGCACCCGACGAGACTGTTCCAGCTGCGCCACCAAGAATGAGCCTCCGGCCCGAACCCAAGACCCCCACTAGACAGATCATCAACCTAGAAGATGATCTGAACGATGCATCTATTTCCCAAAAACCATTGGCAGAAGGCCACTTGAACTCGTCCAACGATCCCACTCCTCCCCTATCAGCCAAGGGCTCGCCCGTCCGGAGACACAGCGCGCTTGACCGAACCTCGCTCTCCCGTCGACGTGAATGGAGGGCATCTCGAGAGACGGAGCGGCAAAACCGGGAGGCACGGGCTACGATGCAGGCAAGAGCTAGAAAGCTAGCCATGGAGGTCGGGGACAGGGCGAAGGAGGAGACCCCCGCGCTGGACAAGGAAATTATGCGGCTGTATGAGGCATACCGAGAACATCGGTTCCGTGATATGGAACGCCGACTACGACGACTAGAACGGAACGGCGATGTTTGGCTCCGTGCCCTGGTTCCAGTCCTCGACAGCCTCAACCAGTCCGTGGTCACCTCCAATCGTGAGGAGCCTGAGGCCCGAGGATGGGCATCAGATGGCGAAGAATCGGCCGCACATGCCATCAAGAAAGAAGCTCAAAGGCGCGCGTCTGCTTCTATCCGCAGATCAAACAGCGCGCAATCATACAGAAATGCTCGTGAGCAAGGGCTCGTGCAGAAGCTAGAAGAGGTTCTGGAGGACGACATGGAGAGCCGATGCTGCAGCTCCAGAGGCAGCGATGAAGTGAGCGGCCTGGACATAATCGAGCCTCTGATGAGAGAGTTGGCTGGGGCAGCCAAGGTCAGGCGGATGAGATCCCACGAGCTACTACACGCCTACTAAACGATCTTGATCTCGTCTACCTATTTATTCCCACGAGAATGTGCATTCTTTCTTTCTATTCCTTTTATTCAAGTATTCTTACCCAAAATAACCTTGCGTCGAGAACATCTCGCATTCTTTTTTGTCAGTGTCGATACCCGGCGTTACTGGCCCTCTGGGTATCTAAGGCGGTATAGGTCATGTACCGGTAGTTGAAACTGTTATTATTTATTTTCTAATCTAGTAGCTAGAGTTGGTGTGGGTAGGATTGTAAGTTTTGGATGAGCAAGGCGCTGGCTGAACAAGCACGAACGTCGAGTCTTTGAGCGTGATTGAATGGGCGACTATTAGATAGCACCTGGACATACCAATTGATTATTTTGAACTTCATTTGAAAGTCCGCTCGCCTAACGCAAGTTCTCTGTGCCGTTGCTGAAGTCAATTCTAACTATCCGCTTCCATGACGTCGTCACGCACCTAGCTCCCTCTGAATGTCGATCTCATCAACTTTATTTGAAAGCTCTTGCTCCTCAACCCCTAAAATATCTATCATGGTTGTGTACGACTTGGTGGTATCAATAGGGATCACTTGGCTATACTATATGTAGAAGCACATTGAGCTGAACCAAGCATCACTACCGACAACATTGCGAGGCATAAGTGTTGTTCAGAGCAATAACAACATCACATCAGATACACGTCCACAACATCGCCACACTAGACAAGAATGTCCCTGCCCTGGGCCTTCATCTGCCCCTCCAGCCGCGGCATAGGCCACGCCCTGA